GCGATCGACATGGTGAAGCTTCACAAGAAATTTTTCACGGGTGATAAGGTTTTCGCAAAAGTTCGAGGTTATCCGCCGTGGCCAGCAAGAGTAAGCTTAACTACAGATTTTGCATTTGTTTCGCGCAGTTTTTACAGGATGCACAATAACGATAATTTACATTATATCTAGTTGCGACCATAACATCCTTATTGTTACCTCTTACGTATCATGGTATCAAAAGAAAGGGAACTGATATCAATGTATTGTTCGGAGATTATGTTTACATCAAAACTATACCAAAATTAATATAATTTCATCAATTTAATACAATTTCTGATTGTTTGATATTATTAACTTAATCCGAGACCATTTGTTTTACTATTAATTCTAAACAAGATATTTTTTAACTTATTCATAATAATAAATAAACAAATGTATTATACTTGCAAAAAGAGACTACAAAATAATATTGTCAACTTCCTGTTAGGTTGAGAGAGTTATTGATCCTAATTCGAAGAATGCGAAATACAGTGTTTATTTCTACGGCACAGGAGAAACGTAAGTCTTATAAAATATTATTACTGTATATATTTAACTATAATATATATTAACAATTTTATATTTTTTTTCAGTGCTGTGTGTAAAGTTGATGAACTATATACATATTTGGAACATAAAGCAAAATTTGGTAAACCTAGTAGAAGGAAGTTTTTCCATGAGGGATTGGTACAACTAGAACAAGAGCTAAAAAATGACAGAAATAAGGCATCAAATCTTGCCGACCTCAAAGGTAAATTAAGCATATTCTATTGTACGTAATATAATTATGACAAACATAGAATATTATTATTTACATTTATATAATTTTCCACAACTGAAGAAGCTGGAATTGGTGAAGGAGGAGGTAAAGAAGCTGAAACGAACGTACCAACAGTTAGTGCTGCAGACAGTGATTTGGAATCAGGATCTCTTGTTATTGATGAGGAGGAGAAAAAGAAGTCTATGAAAAGAAGGACTATCGCTGGAACTCATCCTGTAAATCATTTTTTTTACATATTTTCTTATGTATAATATTCAATGTGGAGCTTTGCTCATCTATGAATATTGTTTAAGAGAGCAATCATTGAATTGAGCACTCCAATAGCAACTTAGGAATTGCCGACAAATATTTATTAAGGTTCAATAATTTGTGCGATTATTCCTTACACTTACGCGCTTTTTTAAAAAACGGAATCTGCTATGTTACGTTGTATTTAAAAAATCTGAAAAGATTCTGTCTTTCTTAGGATGCGCCGGAAGTGAAGAAGAAACGCGGAAAAGCAAAATCTTTATCCGCATCTACAAGTGATCCAGTGAAGGATGGCTCTATGGATTCTCAAGGAGAAGAATCTCCAAAGGAAGTTGTCAGCCGTAGCGGCAGAAAAATAAAGCCTAAACGATTTGCCGATTTTTCGAGTTCGGAAGAAACTGAAACTATAGATAAAAATGGTCCTTACTACCATTACATTCAATCAGATTACTTTATTACTATTATACATTAATAAATATTTTATGTATCTCAGAACATGGAAGAGGTCGTTTGAAGGCTAAAGTCGAAGATTCGAGCGATCAAACAACGCCTGGTGCAATGCATAAGAAACGAGCTGCAGTTGAAAGTGAGTACGCGAGAACAATGAGCGCAGTTAGAATTACATTATTTGTTTATGATATACTTTACAGAAAAAAATAATTTGGACGAAGAACCCATGCTGGAGGGTACTGTGGTGTGTAGTAATGCTTCGGATTCGCCAGGACGATTTCTCTTGGCATTAACATTTGCCGGCGAGTACGTAGGAATTAAGTTAGATCAGGATAAGCCAAAGTCCTTTGACAACGAGAAGGCTCGATCCCAGTGGGAATGGACTACAGCAAGAAACGCCATGAAATTGAAAGCGCAACTGGAAAGCGGTGAAATTTTACCAGAACAGGTGAAAGATTCTTTGGATTTCAATGTGAACGTTCCGGACGAAGAAAAACGATTAGTGGCAAAAGACGGAGCCGTCCATCGCAAGACGAACAAGTTAAGGTAAAATAATCGTGTTTATTTAACGATATGTAAGAATTCAATTATATATAAATAATTTCAGATGGCTTNGTGCAGGCCATGTTTACCATACCCGAAGGTCAGTCGTTTTGGCAATCATTTTCAGACCAAGTTGTCCATTTCAAAGAATTAACGAAGGACATGCCTGAGGAGAAAGTATTTTCTCTAATGTCTGACCCTGCTTGTCCAGGTAAATAATATATCTCTGCAATTATCTATTTACACGGGGCTTGTATATTGTTCTATGTTGGATTTTTATTAATAAAAACTAAAATTGCAGATGCACCAGAGATTATACCAGCGGATGAAAGTGGCAGTCAACCGGATCCAGAAGCATCTATTGAGAGTGCTAAATCAGAAGTGCCTACTAGGAGCGAAACTCCAAAGGACTCAGAGGCCAAGTAACGAAGCGATGTTTTTGTATCTGATAAATGTGAAAAACTACACTTATTTTCTTTTTTACTGATACGGCATACCGTATAACACGAAAATCACGAAGAAGAGAAATACGGATTCACTTTTTCACGCATAAAATCACATATTCTAGATAAATCCGGACACTACGTATATTTAATTCAAATGGGTCTTCTAGTAAAATTTTCTCGTTGTCATTATCTCGTCTACAATATTTATAGTTAGGAAGCTCACTATATGGATAAACAGTGTTTAATCGGTTAAGTATATTAAATGAAATTGGTTAATTATAGAGCACTTAAGAATGTTTAGAATAGACATCATCATTATTTACCCTATTCGATAACATATTTCTTTTATAATTACAATTCCTTCTACGTTCTTGGGCAACACCAAAAAAATATATGTGTATTCTTGAAGACTGCATAGATGTCTTCGTCGTCTAATGTCAGTTAAACCTTGTCGACTTAAGTAGCAACAGATATCGAATGTATATATAAGAAGAAACAAAATATGAAAACAGCAATACTTTTCTTGTTGGTTTCGAAATAGATATGTGTTTGTAATTATTGGGATAATGAATTTTGCTTAATCTGTTGTGTGTTTCATCGCACTTTAAAGGCATAATTAGAATATATTACTACTAAATCAGGAAGTGAGAAAAATAAAATTTTAAATAAATCTCATCTAAGGAATATCCTAAAAGATTATATAGAAAATACTGTTTAAATTCAAATTTTTAGCTTATTGAAAAAAACTGCGATTGTAATGTAAACTAGAAATTACATTTTTATACGAAAAAAAAGAATATAAGTACATAGATTTTTGTCTCATTGGTCAATACCTTTCAGGGCACAATGGTCATTCAACGGTAATTATTTCCTTTCAAGGTACAGTTTCTAATAGATACCATTAACATGAATATACCTTCATATACATTTGTCGAAAAACAACAATATTGTAAATGTAACATTGTTAATAAAATACAAAATTGAAACATTTTTCGACAGATGATAGAAAAATAATCAATCTCCCTATCGTTACATTTATTTAGATACATTCTTCTTATTTTAATTCGATGAAATGCCTTTGAAGTGCATTGAAAATAACAGAAAAATAAATGTTCTATATTCAAGAGTTATTTTATCATATACTTTAAATTGATTAAGTTTCAACTCGTTGGGATTTGAAGCATACTCTTCAGAAACCGATAGATAAGATTATCGCTTGTTAAGTAAATATTACTCATAGTATTGAAGATGAATTTCATTCAAATGTCAAAAAAGAACCAAATATTTTGAATAAAAAACTCTGCTGCAGTTTTTGTATCTGTCCCAGAGCTTTCACTAGTCTATTCGTCGGGTTTATACGATCGTCGCATTGATAGACATCATTACTTTGTTCGATTAGCATCTACAGTTATGCGAGCAATGTAAAATAATGGCACGAAAATTTTTATCGCATGTAAATTGATGGTATATAATTCACGTAATACTCGGTCGCTCGATAATAAGGGACGTCATGAGAGAGTATTCTCTCCCAATTCTTTTTTCATATTGTACATACATACGCAAGAAAGCGCAACAGTCATCTCCTTTGCGAAAAATGAATCTGTGCCGAGTGATTTGTTTGCTTTTCTGGTTTTATAAAATCGTCGGATTGGGGACATTTTCATTAAATAAGAAAATACTTGAGAAGAAGGAAAAGTGCTCGAAAAATGTATTCTTTTTCGTCAAGTCGAAACTGGGAATAGTTTACAACTTTTTACTTAGTTGCTTTGTAATCATGTTGTATTATATCGTGGTACCATTTGTAAATGATGTAGAATATCCTTATAAAACGAAGTTTACGGGCACCCTTGAATTATCCCAAGTCCTGTTGGGCTGTTTTATGACCTGTTTCATTTTGTTATATTTCTGTTCAAATCAGTCGGCTTTCGTAAGGATTGGAAACTGTTTGATCCTGGCCACGGACACACTATGCCGTCTTCAACAACCACTAAGTCGAACGAATCTTCTCTGCCTTTTCATTATCGCTTACATTTTCAATTTTATCTTGCTACTGACCCTTGGTATTTCCGAAGTGCTAACAACTTCTGCTCCCTACTTGTACCACGTCGGAACCATTACACCCGTAGCTGTTTTGAGCCTGTTCTTCATTCAATATTTCACTGTACTCGTTATTGCAAACGCGATTTTTGTCGCCATTAATCGTATTATAAAGCAAATTCAACGAAGTTCGATCGATGATTTTAACATGAAGATCTTTTACAATCGACGCTTGTTCGTCAGTTCTTCCGGGATTCAACTTCTCGTCCAAATGAGAGAGCTTCACGATTATGTCTGCAACGTTTCCACCGAAATTTCGCGATTGTATTCTTTGCCCACGCTTATCGTACTATGCTTCATTTTCTATTCATTCCTGTATAACGTTTACTACTTCTTCGGCCCGCTCATAATGAATGCATCGTTTGAAACGGTAACTATCATAAACTCAACAATTTGGGTCGTTATTCTTCTATACCCCCTTACTTTGGTCACTACCAAGGTCATCGAGATCACGGCCGAGGTATGCGAGCTGGAAATTTATTTGAGAGCGGAAGCATTTAAGTGGGCATTAATTACCTTGCAGATAGAAAGCACTGGAAATATTGTGCATGCGCTGTTGAATCGTGTAATTGATCGAGAAACAAAGGCAGAGGTAAGAAATAGCAAAAGGAATTCAAATTAAAGTCGTGTGTTAAGCTTAAACTTGTTTTAGCTTGAACAATTTTCACTCCAATTGCTACATCGGAAGGTGAAGTTCACAGCGTATGGATATTTCACTTTAGATAATAGTTTACTTCGAGCGGTGAGCGAAAATTGACAATTTAACAGATTTCACAACATAACTTGTTTCACGTTCTTAGATGATCGGAACGGTGGCCACCTATATGGTGATTCTTATTCAATTTCAAATGGAAACTCCTCCGAAGACTCGTGCTGACAATTGTACGCAACAATAGTTGCTGAAACGAAGTATTAATTGTTCCTTGAATCGTAATACCTGAGAGTAACTTATGAGATATAGAAAATTTGCATGAGATGTTTAAGGAAGCATAAGAATTTGTTTCTCTATTTTACCGATAAATACTCAGGCGCATACATATACGAGTACATGGTACACATATTATAAAGGGAAATAAATTTTGTCGGTGACGAATATTACAATCTTTTTTCTTTTTTTTTTTTAATCATAATTTATCAACAATTCCGTTGAAGTGGACTAATACATCGATTGCATGCATGGCAGCGACTATGATTGCGACTGATTATTACATACAATACATACATGTATACCTATACCTTGTATGCTCGCAATAAGTCTCCTCTCATTTTGTTTGAACACTCGTGACCACGGAAGTAAGCTTAAATCTAAAAACGTGGATAATCTCTACACAAAGTGTCATCGTCGTTATCAAGTGAATTGTTCATATTGACGCACACTTTTATTCGCGGTGGGAATGAAACTTGTCGATAAAACTACGCATATGTTTCGAGCTTGCTGGTCTTCATAATAAAACGCAAATTAAACTGAACTGGTAAGTATTCGTACGGTCGTGAAATCGACGAATGCATTAATTTATCATCAATTATTCCATTATGCAAATACATACACATGCAGAGGGATACATATGTAAGTCCCTTAAACACAGGACACGACACGCGCCCTCGTTAATCTCTTTTGGTAAAAAGTCGCAGCAAATGTGTTCGCAGTATTCAAAAAATATGTAAATTGAAAATACATACTATAACTATACACTCTACCGTGCCACGTGTTCACACGTTTCTTTTCTTGGTAAAAACACTTGGAACTCTCGTTTTAAATATATACGAGTACAAATTATAAAATGCTTCGAACAATTCTTCTTGCCCTTTCTGATTCCTCTACTTCTAAAATCACAACCAGTTAATACTATAGCGGCGATCGTAGCCCGTTATTGTATACAGGATGTCAGAGATGAAACCTGAAAAGATAATTATATAGCAACGTACATAAGTTATCTGCACACTGTTCTCAATTCGGGAAAAACTTATTTCCCATTGTGGGCGTGTACAGGGCTGCGAATAATTTCTTTTCCTTAATTTTACGTATGTACATGTACAAACACAAGTATGCAATAATAATACAAACGATTGCTTTGGATCGTTTCATAGTCTTATATCGCTGTCGTACAGAAAGTATTAGCATCATCACCGTATTTATTAGTCTATCATTTTTTTCTTTTTAACCACAGCGGGACTCTGAAGTCCCGAAACGAATCATGAATTTTATCCAAATAAACGAACAACAATTCTTCGAATTTTTAAATCTTGGTGTTATATTCACAACCAGCAATCCCAAAAACCCCTCATGTGCCTGTAAAAATTCATGACTCGAAGGGTTAAATATAGCTTAATTTTGTTGTAATCGTGTCTTCATATGATAAGATAAATGATAGCGAAATTAAAATCGAGTATACGCCAATACTTCTTGTAGCTACATTGTATGAATAGTTTCTTTGTTAATATTATTGTACAAGACGGGATGAGTAAACGTCATTTTTACTTGTCATTAATTCAAATCGCAATATTACGTCAAAACACGCAGACTTGATCGCTCCCTTTATTCATTTTTCACTGTAAAGCCTTGATAGACTTTATTTTTTCTCAAAGATTAATAACAATTTCCTATTCGTCTGAAAAATATTGTATCAAATGTTCGATTTGTTTCACCTTCACTTTTCCTCGTATAGATCTCGTTTCGTCAAAAATCGACGAAGAGGATTTAAAAAAGAAATTAATAATTTTACTCGTGAGACGATTCATCGGACATCAAAGGATCGTCGCACTCATCTATTTGAAAGACTGCCGTATACGTATGTACGATACGATAAAAATTTGCCTCATTTTCGAATCGAAAGGACATCCTTCAAGGGACGGCATTCGCGCGTTTAAATTCAGTCGTGCTAAAATTCCGATAAAAAACGTGAAAAAGTATCTTCTACTATTATTCATATAATTAAATGCAAATAGCATTGATTTAATTTCAGTGAACATTCTCTCTTGAAATCTTATTAGTGACAGCGAAAAAGCTGGTATAAGTATATGTATTACAATTAATAGCATATATATTGTCGCCGTTGATCAATAGTATTGAGAATTTTTGAAAAACTATTCGTCGACTTTAACAAGAAAAATTAATCGAACTGGTAATAAAATAAATCAAACCCTGTAGCTATATGTGTATATTATGACACCAACAACTCTTTATTTCTCGTCTTCTTTCAAAAGTCGTATCTCGTTGATTTCTTTTGCGGACATCCCTCGAAGGAAATGTCTATCGTAGGGGTTTTCTTAGCACTTCCTAATGACTCTATGGGCACAATGGACACGTACTACTTAATTCATTTAATTATATATTACGTTTCGACACGCAATGACAAGAATTAAGTAGCTATTCAGCATCCAATGTAATTATAATCGGAAAGATTACAGCAATAAAAAGATATGCATCGCCACTTTTATACACTTTTTAACTACTATACCAATTTTTAAGCAAATATGATTTGTTGGAACATCATATTTGTCTGAACGTATTATCGGAAATTTATATTTCTTAGGAATCACAATCTTTTTAATGCATTCGTAACATTAAAATTACTATTCATTTGGGAATGCACAAAAGTAACTGATAAATTATTTAAATTCAATATATCATATTCTACGAAAACTACAGCTGTTATGTTTGAAGATGACGTCTCATATGCATCGATCTAATAATTACATAAATCATTGCCTGAGTTGTTCATATAAATATTAGGGAGTTCTATTGGACATAACAAAAATTGTAGAAAAAGTTATCTTCTTATCGCTGTTCCTGTGTGAGTCTTTTAAATTCTTGCCAAATCTTAAGTCTAGAACTGTCTATTTCAAATTTCAATTCTGTGCGTATTTTTCTTTACGAATAAAAGTCCGCTTTTTATCTGTTAGTGACACTCATTAACTGCACTTGAATTGAAATAACACATCGCATTACGACTTTCTTATTTGTAAATTAAAAAAAAAGTTTGTTCTCTCTCTGCATCTTGTATTTCCATACAGTATCGGAGCATCGCGTCGCGTCGCATCGCCGCGAACCATCATTTTTTTTACGTGATGCGATGCACTTATCCATGATCGCGTTTTAACTTGGTTAGACGATAACGCGAAATTATACTTAATGGAAAAGCGTGGTTTTCCAGTATCGATTAGTTTTGGGCCACATACAAACAACGTTGCGTTCACTACATTAAACAGAGGTCTCGGCCGATGTAGAGCCGTTTATCGTTAACGGGCTGATGCTTTCCTTCGATCTTATCAAGTCTACCTGAAACGATTAAATCAAAAGATTCGCATAATTTCGCAGGAATCACACAAACAATAAACGTCGATCTACAATTGAAAATCCCATAGCCGATACCTCGAATACAACGAACGTAAAAATGTGTCACGTAAACGTGAGAAGACAAATATTTGTTCTGGCGATTCGATTTAAAATGAAACATTTGCAAACGAGATTGCGTGTACACGTTTAACACGATATCGTTTTGTGCTCGTATAGAGATAAGCATGAAGAAACACGGAAACAGATTTATTTCCGTGTTTAAATTTTTAAACTGTCAAAGTTCATTGCATTTTTTTCAAATTAAAAGCATATTATTTTTCAACAGATTCATGACTTGAAGTGAAGAAAATTCTAAGCCCACGAAAATCGAGAAATCGTACATGCAAAAGTGCAAATAATAGATGGTTGGACCATGCGAGAAATAAAATTCGTTTCCCTAGGTGGAAGAAATATACTTCTACATAATCTATTACGTATTAGCGAACACTATGCTGCAACTTAAACGTGTGATGGACAACACAATTTCTTATATATATGTATATAGTTTTAATATAACGCTAGACATTGGGGTACGGACCAAAAAAATGATCTAACAAGAGAAGAAAAGAATTTCGTCGCAGGGTTCCGTGCAGCTCCCTTTAATACTGTTACTCACAGCAGCGTGAGGGGGTGTATCGCATGCCGGTGTGTTGGTGCTCTTGCTGTGTAACTTGCCATGTGATTTATCGATTTGGTGGTGGTGATGGAAGTGGTGGTTTAAAATTGAGAGTCATTTACATTTGTCACCTTGATAGAAATCCCACTGTCATTCTCGTCCTCTTCTGTCATTGTGGTCAACCTCGTGGTCTCATCAGCCATCAACGAATTATCCTTTTTCGAGTGCTTCTTCTGTTTTCCCGCGCTACAGCATCCATAATCGAATTTAATTAATTGCTGTTAATCAATCTCTCAGATGCAAATATAATTAATTAAATATAAAATTCGTTTTTATTTTCGTTTTAATTGATCAAACTTTTACGTATCTCTCAGTTTTTCAAATGCTTTAATAATTTCATACAAATTATATTACGTACTTGATCAGTTTCGGTTGCTTCGGTTTCTCGTTACTCTCGTTCACTTGTTGCCAGATACCGGTTTTATTCACCTCTTCGCTGATATTGATGCTCGACATCGGTATCTTCATGATGTTCCCGTTCGCCAACGATATTTGTATGTTTCCCGATGGACCATAGCCCATTGACTCATTCTGTTCCTGCAGGAAAAATCGTGTACATTAACTTTTTCGCATTCGCTTCGTTGCCCTTGAAGAAGTGAGTAACAAGCCATGCATCGAACTCATTTGTAAATAGAACTCTCGTCATTATCGTGTTCCGTGAAGTAGCTACAGATTATCTTGGAGTCAATGGTATAATTTTATTGACATTATTTCACGCTAACTAAAGTTTGAAGAATCGTTGACGAGATAATGTCAACAGAAATAATGTCATCGATTTATCAAGATAATTTCAAAGAACGCGATAGACCTGGGTGTAAGAGAAAAGCAGTATTTCGTTCGAGCTGGAAGACGAGAAAAGTGGAGTTTGCAATGGGTTCAGAACGAGCAGGTATTGCGTGGAAAGAACAGTGTCCGATGCACATAGTAAATGGATGCTGTTTCCTTCTCACGACGATTAAATATAATATCTGAGTATATCGGTAATGCGAATCGCTGAGAACGATAATTGCGATCGCAGTTGGTGCACGGCAGTCTTCAGCATTAAAAGTATATGTAATGTAATCTTCAGCGGGGGATGAATAGATACACAAATACGTTAAAATTAGTCTCGATGCTTGAGGAACTATGGACGTGCACTTTTTGACGCCACGTACCGATGATTGCCGCAGGATTCGACGACCAGTGGGTACCTTTATTGGTTTCCTCATCCTTCTCTTTCCCGAGGACTCTATTTTCTAGGTATCTTTTTGTCATCCTCCTTTATCGTATCCATCCCCGTTTATCTTTAAGTAACTGTATGGCTATTCTATTCGTTAACCCTTAAATGCGCAAATTCTTGCAAAAATTTTCTCGAAATTTTATTACATAATAATTTCAATTGAATTGATTCAGATAAACAGGTTTCTCATCTATTCATCTTGCAAAGTTAAGCGTTCTTTGGTGAAGTATTCAGATTTTGCTCAATCGTAAAAAGTAAAGAAAAAATTTTTGCTCCATTATCGACGATCCATCCGTTTGGTGTAGTCTGATGTCTGCGTGTATTTAAGGAACATCGGAGATGTAGCATGCAAACATGGTGTACTTGATTTTTTGTATCGTGTTGGTATAGACATAAATGCTGCACAAGGAAGAACTAGGATTACGATTACAGAGAGATTTATGTGTGTGTTCATTAAACAATAATGTATATTTTCATATGTAAAGGTAGGCGAAATCTGTGTTCGACGATACATCGAATACATGTCTCGAATGTTGAACAAAACATTAACATCGACTGTGATGAAGTGGTAATGTCTCATAAATTGAATAAAAAAAAAAAAGAAAGTTTCGTCCATGTGTTTCAATAAGATTTCATAGGCCGACAGCTGTGAGTTAATATTTCACCGAGCTTTTAATGGTATAAATACGATCATACGGTTTACCTGTAATTAAGCTACAACAACAAAATCTACGACAACAATTATATCCAAAATGCTATTTTTCGAACATTATGATAGATCTCCTAATCGTAACAATTAATACTGATCGGATCGGATATTTTGGCATACGCAATTATGCACGGACACAATTATTCTAGCAGGGAATATATCGTTCTTCATTCTGGCACGTTTAATTGCAAATTTATTGCTTTGGTCAGCGAACAAGGGCAAAGAATTACGTACTTGATCAGTTTCGGTTGCTTCGGTTTCTCGTTACTCTCGTTCACTTGTTGCCAGATACCGGTTTTATTCACCTCTTCGCTGATATTGATGCTCGACATCGGTATCTTCATGATGTTCCCGTTCGCCAACGATATTTGTATGTTTCCCGATGGACCATAGCCCATTGACTCATTCTGTTCCTGCAGGAAAAATCGTGTACATTAACTTTTTCGCATTCGCTTCGTTGCCCTTGAAGAAGTGAGTAACAAGCCATGCATCGAACTCATTTGTAAATAGAACTCTCGTCATTATCGTGTTCCGTGAAGTAGCTACAGATTATCTTGGAGTCAATGGTATAATTTTATTGACATTATTTCACGCTAACTAAAGTTTGAAGAATCGTTGACGAGATAATGTCAACAGAAATAATGTCATCGATTTATCAAGATAATTTCAAAGAACGCGATAGACCTGGGTGTAAGAGAAAAGCAGTATTTCGTTCGAGCTGGAAGACGAGAAAAGTGGAGTTTGCAATGGGTTCAGAACGAGCAGGTATTGCGTGGAAAGAACAGTGTCCGATGCACATAGTAAATGGATGCTGTTTCCTTCTCACGACGATTAAATATAATATCTGAGTATATCGGTAATGCGAATCGCTGAGAACGATAATTGCGATCGCAGTTGGTGCACGGCAGTCTTCAGCATTAAAAGTATATGTAATGTAATCTTCAGCGGGGGATGAATAGATACACAAATACGTTAAAATTAGTCTCGATGCTTGAGGAACTATGGACGTGCACTTTTTGACGCCACGTACCGATGATTGCCGCAGGATTCGACGACCAGTGGGTACCTTTATTGGTTTCCTCATCCTTCTCTTTCCCGAGGACTCTATTTTCTAGGTATCTTTTTGTCATCCTCCTTTATCGTATCCATCCCCGTTTATCTTTAAGTAACTGTATGGCTATTCTATTCGTTAACCCTTAAATGCGCAAATTCTTGCAAAAATTTTCTCGAAATTTTATTACATAATAATTTCAATTGAATTGATTCAGATAAACAGGTTTCTCATCTATTCATCTTGCAAAGTTAAGCGTTCTTTGGTGAAGTATTCAGATTTTGCTCAATCGTAAAAAGTAAAGAAAAAATTTTTGCTCCATTATCGACGATCCATCCGTTTGGTGTAGTCTGATGTCTGCGTGTATTTAAGGAACATCGGAGATGTAGCATGCAAACATGGTGTACTTGATTTTTTGTATCGTGTTGGTATAGACATAAATGCTGCACAAGGAAGAACTAGGATTACGATTACAGAGAGATTTATGTGTGTGTTCATTAAACAATAATGTATATTTTCATATGTAAAGGTAGGCGAAATCTGTGTTCGACGATACATCGAATACATGTCTCGAATGTTGAACAAAACATTAACATCGACTGTGATGAAGTGGTAATGTCTCATAAATTGAATAAAAAAAAAAAAGAAAGTTTCGTCCATGTGTTTCAATAAGATTTCATAGGCCGACAGCTGTGAGTTAATATTTCACCGAGCTTTTAATGGTATAAATACGATCATACGGTTTACCTGTAATTAAGCTACAACAACAAAATCTACGACAACAATTATATCCAAAATGCTATTTTTCGAACATTATGATAGATCTCCTAATCGTAACAATTAATACTGATCGGATCGGATATTTTGGCATACGCAATTATGCACGGACACAATTATTCTAGCAGGGAATATATCGTTCTTCATTCTGGCACGTTTAATTGCAAATTTATTGCTTTGGTCAGCGAACAAGGGCAAAGTTTTTAGGCTGCTAGCGCAAGCATGTCCACAAGAGCAGTCCAAGGAGTACCCAAGAGGAGTGCGTAGCGTTTCAAGAAGTGTTTGTTCATAACGATTGCCGTCGATATTACATATGGCAAGTCGACACGCACGCATTGGCTTCGAGAGCTGCCTTGTATTGTATAGTGAAGGGAAGGATATAGCAATTCTTGTAAAACAGCGAGATTGCTAATGATGACATGCCATAAACCCAATAACGTACCAATGTATTGTCAGCTATTCAGCCGTACTTGGGGTCAGGGATGTCATAATTTTTCCCTCGGCCGGAAAGTGGGGGCGACGCGACCATGGTGGGGACTGGTACTTGATGGGGGTATGCTAGGCATGGTGAGCGAAGGCGCATGAGGAGAATAGTAGTGGGGATCGAAATATGGGAGAAAAAGATGGGGAAGCGAGCCGTGCGGGAAAAATTATAAGATACCTGCTTGGGGTTCCAAATGCCAAAACTCATTCTACACAATGTTCGAATAGAAACTGGAGCTTTAACAATTGTTCTTATGTACAAATTAATTTAAATTTAATGTTAACATTTTGTAAAATGAAAGTTTTAGCACTTGAGGTTTTAAATACTATTGAAAAGCTAAAAAATACATCGATACGTTACTACAGCCTGCCATCATGACTTCTTTTGTTAAAAATATGAGGGACAGGGGAATAAAGGAGATAGCAACCTCGCTATTTTAAGAGAGCTGCTATTGTATATTTCCTTCGACTGTAACTACAACTTCGCCCATGTTCAACCTTGCGGTCGAACGCAAGGCCTTTCGAATAGTAAGCAAACGATACGCTTACACTCGCACCGAATGAGTTCATTTAAAATTTACGTCGAAATACAGTAGTCTCCGGATATGTAGAGCCACCGATCAGGACCGGATTTCTTATAATTGTCATTCGAGGGCGCAGCACGAGTAAAAGTAAACAATAGATAGTGCGAGCGAGATGACAATAGAAGGGCAACACAGATAGACCTGCAGACTAGTATAGCAGGGTGACAATGTCACAATGCTCGCCTATTATCAGCTACTAACACCATGTCATTTCTTCATTACTTTATAACTCTCCGCTTCATGTTCGGACTCATCGAGCATGAGCGCTCCCACCCTTAAAACAGCGATTTGGACATGCCTATGCTGGCGCATCGCGTTGCTGGTTGGATTTCTGAGACAACGCGGATTCCTCGTAGTCGCATACAGTTACAGTGACCACGGGGCAAATGTTAGCCACGCGGTCACTTCTTGTGTGCTATTTACGACCAATGATGATATTTAGTATTCGTCTCACGGTGCTAACCTCGCCGCTCTCCAATTGACAAAGATCGTCTTTCATGCTTGTTTCCGGCATCACGTCGTCCAGTATCTTCAATTCCCGTTGGGTGAACAGAAAGTCCAATGATTTTCTTATACCGATCATCACCACTAGCTGTATAAACGAAAAATCGATTGAGGAGATATTTTTATTGTAACAGTAATAAAACGCAAAGTTTGTTTAATGTTTAACGAACGACTTACCATCAATGGGAATAAAATCGATGTGCTGCTGAAGGATTTGATGATCCACAAGCACGCTAGGCATGTTAGTTGTATCGTTGTGAACAGATGCACGCGTTTCAAAGGTACCTAAAAGAGTTACATGCAAATTCCTATTGTACTTATGAACAAAATTTACGCATGAAAAACTGAAGATTCTTTATTCTTGTCACCTGTCGAAGGAACATGTAGTCAGGCTGATATTTAACCGGCATCAACATGATCAGGATTCTGTCGAAGAATTGAAGCCCTTTTAACGAAGCGACGCCCATGTAGAGGAAAACGCCAAACAACACCGGCATTGGTATATGCTTCAACATTGGCGTTAGAAGCACCGAACAGCCGATCATAAGGAAGATCAGAATGTGCGTGGCACGTTGTTCGCGAACACCGAGAAATTGCGGTTTCTCGCCGGGTGCCGCGCACTCCGATTCCAGTTTCAAAGAATTCACGTGATTGATCGAAAGAACGGTAGCCGCGACAAACCACGGAAGTCCCATCACTGAGCATATCTGGATCAGGATCGCGAGGATGAATAGGTCCAAGTGATAACCGCACCCTTTCTAGAAAACGATGCGCTGTCAAAACTTGTTCCTGCGATAAGTTTTAGATCGATGCGTATGAAATATCAGATTTTAAAAGAACATTGTTTTTTAAGAGTAGTCTCCTTTATTTGATCTATAGGATGCTTCAGCTTATTTAATAAAAATTGGTATAGTTTGAAAAAAATTTCGGTGGGGAAATATGTTCTGTATTTCCATATAATGCTTGAGATGCAACGGGAGAAAACTCGCTGGTCAACGGGGGATGCTACTATAATAACAAATGATAAAACAAAATAGGACAGGTTTTCAACTGGAAAACGGAATCTTAAAATCAAACGGTATTTCATACGCACCTATCTATGTAATACTAACTTTCAATTTGTTCTCTTTTCTATTAACTATCACGGCTGTGATTTGTTGATCCATGAAGATCAATATAGTGCCTAGGAGGGCCGGTAGACTAGCAACGATTGCGCTCCACCATGGATTGTTTTGAAAAGGCCAGATCATCCATCCTCGATCGCTCAACGTTGGCTTGAATTCTACCGGTACCTCGAGTTTCGGTGTTGGAATATTCACGAAATGATCGAGCGCGCTCATCGAGAAGATCGCGATGATTACGGCAAAGTCACTGAAGACTTGCCTGACCTATATAACGTAACGCAACTTCTTCAAACGCGAACAAGATCACTTTCAGATACTGTTACTATAGATAAAACGAGTTCAAGACTGATTTATATTGCTTTAAGCTAGTACCTAAGTTTGTAGCGGTCTTACAAAGTTAGGTAACGTACCTTCGACGGAAAGAAGAGAGCGTTCTTGAAATCTTTCAGCTCGACGGATAACAAGAATGTGCCCATGAATAGTATAATTGACATTAGGAACACATCGGGTATGTATTGAGGTAGGTTGCAACCTTCGCCCGCTAGCGTGCCATTGTAACTCTAAAAAAAGTTGATAACGTTTTTGTCAGTCATGCGGTACCTCAATAGATACCTCGAAAATACACGCGGTAAAGATTTTAACTTGTAATTTACAGCAGATAATATCTAAATGAGTAGCGTTTGAATTAACCTGGCATGTTTTTTGATCGAGCGCCGTCCAGTTAATGTGATCGTAGCTGGACGGTAGACTCTCATTCGGAGGTCTGCACCAACACTCGTAGCTAAACGGATCGTTCGCGTGAGTGTTGATAGGATACTTCTTGCCGATAGATAACACGTTTTCAATAGCCTGGAACAAACGCGATCATCCCTTTAAATTGAAGATGCTGACGAATTAAATTAAAATAAAGCTCGAAAGGATTAGATAGATATAAGCACAGGCGTACGCGTGTGTAGGTTCGATATTTCACGGTCACATTCAAGATCGAGGTCGTGTCGTGCTTTTGAAGCCCGAGAGTAACACGGTTCGATTATTCGAGCATTCTACCGCGATTCGTGACCCAAATCATCGGCTGGTTTCGCTGATAGAGCAATTCGCGAAGCACACATGGCTACCACCTGGAGCTAGGTAATGCACGAGATCTATCCAATTAACCTTCGCTCGAGGACACGCTTACGTAATTAACAATGGACGAAAGTGATAAAAAATTAATTTTCCACGGCACTCTTCTATTTTTAGATACGCGTACATGTGAAATGTATAGTACATATCTATAGTATATCTACAAAAAGTGTTCATTTCATTATCGTAGACTCGCGCGTTCTTAGTTTTTATTATACGTGTATTGAATTTGATTAAATATTTATTGTCAGTGATAACAATTTAGCATACCTTGTAGATGAAGATGAAGGCGATCAAGGTGGCGAAATTTTCTTCCGTGAAACGGGTGATGTAGCACACCAGAGCACTAGCGTCGATCGCGACCAGGATCAGCAGGATCAGTGTTATCCACGAGCCGATCCAAAAACGGAAGGACATGTAGTTCCAATCTGATTTTCTATAACGATAATTAGATCACCTAGCTAAATAAGATGTTTGATCCTAAGCGATACGTATTTACACAGCTATTAAAAGCTTGAATTAAATATTAACTGTCAATCCTAATCTTAATATATTATACATATACATATAGTATAAATGCGAATGTCCGGATAGATATATAATCCATTCGTGCAATCAAATTTTGAAAAAATGTAATTTGTTAAGAATAATTTTATTTATTTGCTGTAGGATCCTCCAGCTTATCGTAATATTTAATAAAAAACAGTACAGTCCTTAAAATCGGTCTTGGGAAGGAAATACTTTACTTCCATATATTGATTTAAGATGGAAAGGGAGGAAACTCGCGCACGAAGTCGCGACGGGAAATGCTAGTTTTAATGATATCGACGTACTTAATGATTTAGAAATTCAGGATGTACTCACTTGCAAAATTCGTAGACAATCGTCTCGAAAACTAAAACGGGACCGGTCGAACCAAGGATGGTTAAGGGTTGCCCGGAGAATAATCCGTACCCGATACCGCAAACGAAACCGGAGACCAGGGATTCCATAGCAGCCATATTCTTCCCCGTAGCTTCGCCCAAAAGACCACCAAATGTGATTATTGGTGATAGGCAAGCGAAGTACAAGAAAATGAATGAGGCCACGCATTGCAGTGCCAGAGCATCTTTGAAGTCGGAAAGGTAGAAGGGTGCTTTCCTCCTGATATCGTTTATCAAACCACCGAAAAGTCTTCCAGATCTCGAGAGTCCCGACTCTTCTCTCAGCTTCTGCTCATCTGCTTCCTCGTCGAATTCTTCTTTCGATTTTTCTTCTTTCGGTCGTTTCCTTACTTCCTAAACAATGTTTAATTCTCAGAGATCAATATTTGGCTTCTTTAAATTCACTTTTCATATAAGTCAAAGGCATAATATCTGGAATACGATTTTGATTATATTACCTGTGAAGGAATAGCGGCAGGTGGTTCTATTCTGATCGCGGGATCCCATTCACCTGGTGGTAAAACCGTGACCGCGTCCAGGAACTCGTCGATTCCCGCGAGCAGATGATTCCTGTTCTTCGCTTTATAAGCAACGTCGTGGAAGACCTCATCGGACATGAGAGTGGCCATCGCTCGACCAATTTCGTGAAAGCCTGAGATTCCTCCCTATAAAAAGAGAACGGTACACTTTTTCACCGTTCTCGTGTTGATTTTTTCACAGAAACCATTCGATGGGGTCAACTCATCCACGAACTAACGCAAAGAGAATAGGGGAGGCTCCCGAACGATAACGAGGATCCTATTCATCGCGGATAGAAATTGCTTTGTGTATCGATCTTTCTTGAAAGACAGATAGAAAAAGAAAGATAAAGGAAGCGATCGTAGGGGAGGGGTGTAGGCAATCATATTGAACAATTGCTTCGTTTGTTAAAATATTAATTACCTGAAAGGAGAGAATCTTTTATCTAATTACCACAAATACCTATCTCTCGGTGTTTAGATACTCTTTCACTGGTAATAGAAATGTGCCGTTCAAAACAATCAATACATCGTAAACTAGAATTAACTTCAGTCCACTCACCAATCACTCAAACGATTCGATTACTCCTATCAAGTATATCTAATTTGCGTAACAATCTTACCATGGGCCCGAGCAGGACGAATATAAATCTTGTTGGCACAGGAACTTCCGTTAAATCGCCCATTATTGTCGCCTGGCTTAATCGGATGAAGGCCGACAGTGTTTTATCTAAAAAATCGACCTCGCCTACGAGAATGTTGCTCGCTTCCGCACCCGGTGGTATTTTTCTCATGAAGTGAGTATTACCCTAGTAAAGAAGAGTAATCTATCATAATACGATTTTTAATCTTTCCAACAGATTAAGACAAAAAACTAAAGAAAATGAAAAATAATCCTTCTATTTTTTAATACAATTTTTTGATCAGTATTACTAGATAGAGAAATATTTAAAGATAAACAATCAGCCAATTGTTAGTTAATAATAATGATTTTTCGCCAACATTATAAATCTCTAAAATTATTCCGTAAACTATAATATGTATTAGTTATGTCTTAATGTTTAAATCATTACATTGTCTTTTCAATTCTGTACAAATGAAGAAAGCTCTTTTCATGTCCAAAATTTTTAATAGAACATAAAAGGGACTACTAACCCTATGATTCGCATCTCCGTTTTCTAAAGCGGACGAACTGTGATTTCGGCTAATTGACACGCTGCTCGGGCTTCGGTCCATTCCATTGGTGCCTGGCTCCTGACCTGAAAGAGATCTCTGGCTTACCGCCTACCGCGTATTCTTTTTCTCAAGGTGAATTGCAAGCGAAAAGCCGCGTGGGGAATGCAATCAAGAAGGACAACGATTTTCCATTTCTTCTCAATTACCACCTTGTACCCATTAAAAGTTGGATAGCAGGCAGACCACGGTTATATCAAAAGCGCTTTCCGAGTCACTGGAATCCGATATCGAAAGAGAAGTTCTATGACATTTATTAATCCTTTTATTGTGTGTCATAAATCAGAATTAAAATTGTTCGTAATCTCTTTAATCGAGTTTCAATCCTATTAACGTTTCCATCAATTTTATTTACCAATCTATCGTTTCGTTTAATACGAGTTGGGAATTTTATTCGGGATTCGAGTAACTCGATCTTTAAATGAACTTCTGTGTAAAAGAATGTTAGTTCCTACGGGAAATCTACGATGGGTAACGAGAAGCTTTCTTTATGTATCAAAGATCAATAAAAGTGCAAGCATTGGTAAAGTTTACGAGGATTACCGGGTATAGCAAGGAAGCGGCTACCGGCGTTCAGCGTCGCACCACTGCCGTGACTTGTTGCGCCGGCGATCGCCGGGGCGGAATTAGATTCCTCCACTAAAAACGACCATGAAACACAGACCAGGACCGTTATTTACAGAGGGAAGAGACCCAGGGAACGTGGTAGGCTCAAACGCAACTTCGCGAAATCATCGACGATATTTTCATCGGCAAACGTAGATATAAATATTTTTAAAATATGTTCGCTAGCGGATATGCTAGTTAAAGACTAGCAACAATGACTCTTGTTGTCACGAGATCTTTTATTATAGATAACATCAATAGCAATTGTGTAATAAGAAGAATACATTATTAAGGAAAAATTGATAAGAATTGATGATAACCATTTTTGTTACGAATCTATCAGTTAGTAGATGTCCTGAAATATGTATATCATTAAAATATCTTTAAAAATATTTATTTGTAACGCGTCAGCGAAAACACCATCTATGATTTCTAGAGCGATTCTTTCGTTCAATATAAGGTGGCTCAAAATTACTTATTATTGTTAGCATTACAAAGAAAGAGGAAAGTTATTCGGAACGCTGAAAAGACAGACACAGATGTTAGTTGGTTAAAAGTGTGACAGTCAGTAAAGTATAAAATACGATATCGAGTTAATCGTAATAAGTACCTACACATTGAGTAACGTGCATATTATACAATTAGAGAGATCATGCTTCGTGATTAATACCGTGGTAAGGTTCACCTACGCGTTTTCTCGCGATTGTGCACTTCCTCTGAGATCGTTTCTTCACACGGGACGACGTAAGATTAAAGAAAAAAAAGACAATGTTTCGCAATACGTAATTTAATTTCATTGTCAGTACCGGTGCAATGTGACTGTGACGCCGCGGTTCGCAGTAGTAATGGTCAATATTGGTCGGGCAGTTCGCAAATCTCTTTGAAGTCGAACACCAATGAACATAATGATATTTAATTAACTACTTAAAAACACCGAAAGATTCATAAGAAACAGAATATACGAAAATCATATAATCATACCATTGCCCACATACAAGTGAGTGAAGACAAAGAGAAGGTACATTAAATACAGATGTATTTACGAAACAGACGGAGCTGTGCTATCGATTAAAAAAAATAGATTTTTAAAAAACAATAACCACCTGACGATCTAACCTTTTAGTTGGCACATCGCGAACCATGTTGTGAATCCGACCACATGGGGAATGCCGAATTCGTCTGATAAAAAAATAATCAGACTGAAAACATGTCGATATCACTCTAACCGAGTCTTGCGGAAAGAAACCAATCCACTAAATTATACTTAATTAATGAGACGTAGTGCCAAACAGATCTCGATTCCTCATCGATTTTTATACCTACCCCTACACACAGTATGTATCGAAGTTAAAAAGTTAATGCGTTTCAATTTATCACTGTCTAAATATACCTTAGAAAATACTAAATTATGTATTTGTAATTATATTAAATTATGTATTTGTAAATTAATTGTATCGAGTTAAAAATTGCAACTTGAAATTCAGCTTTTTTTTTATAGCTTTTCGAACGAACTGTTTCCTTTCCGCAGAACGTGTTCAGTTTATAATTCACTCGAGATCATCTGAGTGCACATTTTCGTAAAGATCAACCGCGAGATCGAACCCTAATTGATTAGTAGGTCAGAGCAGGTTGTTGGTAAACGTATAAGGCCGAGGGTTCAAACAAACGCTTAGACTTGGACAAACGACGATTAGGGGGAATGTGTTAATGAACTGCGAAAGCACCGTAACCGAAGCCGATGGCCTACGATATTTCTCTACCTGGAACGAGAAGGTACGGTCCTTTCAAATCTTTCGCCTCTTTTGAGAGCAGGGCGGTGTTCGAATTCGGACAGCTACTGCTGCGAGCGACGGCGGGCGCGTAAGCGTCCACGACGCCGCGACGCTCCTGTAAATCTGACGTCAACAACGAATGCAAACCATATGTACAGTTGCAATCTGAAAACGTCGGATGTTTTTAAACGCGCGTTTAGTTCCGTCTTTCTGGAAGGTTTGGGATTAGCGGTATAATGCATAAATAATAATAAATCCTTAAAATAATATGTACAATTAAATCATACATAACTATAAATGAAAAAAACAAATTGTAGGAAATAAAAATAATTCATTAATAATGATAACTAAAATAATATAATAAAAAATCATAAGTGGTATTGTAGGAAGAAATTGGATAGGAATTTCACGAAGCGTAACGGGAACGAAAATATGGATCAGTCAACAGGGATGATTAATACGTTTCGTTGAAAACGTCAAAGGGTCGACGTACTTGTCCATTTTCGATCGCACATACGACGGTACTATACTGTTGTAATATTTCAATGGCTTTCGATTAGTTATCCAATCAATTAACAGTAGTCATTGTTTAAATAACTTACTCTTTGAAGAGGAATGGTTCCGACCGATGTCGGCCAAGGATCTGATAATCGGTAATCTGGACATGTTGTTGTCCTTGCGTCTCTCGTGCTGGTGACGGTGCCTCACGAGAAGAGCTTCCCTGACCTAATCTCCGAAAAAGGTCTCGGTTAAATATTGCTCGTCAAAGGGGGACCATCCCTCCGATCGTACCTTCTCCCTCGCCTCGATTGACAACGAGCCCTTGTTGATCATATTATCTAGCACCAAATCAGCGACTTGTTCCAGGCTGATCGCTTCCATGTCGAGCATCACAGTCCCATTTAACAGCAGGCTTCTTAATTCGAACAGAGCGTGTAAAGAGAGAGTCGCTACGTGAGGTTTGCTCCATCTGTTTCCACCTTCCTCGACATCCTCCTCGAATTTGATCCACCTGGACATTTTGTTTAGTCATCCTACTAATCGTCTTCAATATAATTTTTTACAAATATATCGTCACGAGCTTATTCGTCAATCGATTTGTCATAAATATTTTATATTACATATGTAATGAATTTAACGTTCTTATTTTTTGTCTATAAGATCGTGCTCGCATATGTCGATTCTACGCTGTATGCTCAGTTACTATCTAAATTGTAAAAAACTTCAAGTCAATCTAGATGGAAGGAACAAATTCTGACCGTCACATTTTATGAAATAGAGAGTAACGAGAAGAGAAAATTACCTAGCCGTTTCCTTCCATTCCATCTCGTCGCCATCCTTGACGAGCTCCTCCATCTCCGAGAAAAGAGGATGCGACTCGTGTGCATCGTCGCCGACCTCCTCGCCGAGGATGAACTGAACCCTCTGAGCCGGCGGTGTAACTGCAATTTGGTAAACGGTTACCAGTTTGTGAAAATAGCTACCAATTTCCGAGATTCTTGGTAAAGGAGACATCAACGAATACAGTATAAATAACGAAACAGAAGATACAGAGTACTCCTAATGAAACAATTTAATTAACTGCCTGTGTCGTTGAAGGTCAAAATTAAGATGAAGAATCGAGTGGTTTCCAAGTAACTATTCGTGAGATGACCTAGACATGATCCTGGGATGAGTTTGAAATTCTGTGCAACGAAGAATTTCCCGGACATTCGAAGTGAGAAACAGCGAAAACTGTGCAAAAACCGTAGGAACAATAACTAATTGGAATTCTGTATCGAAAGAGGGGAGTGAAGAATCATTCTGAATTTTAAGAATGAGAGCCAATAATCTGGTGATTCGAGCAATGCAAATTTTACGTGCGCGATTAGTAAAATACATGCACACCCCTAAATGAAAGGAAAACACACAAACAGTAATTCTGTGTTTGCATTTAAGTGATATGTGTTATCACATGTTTGAAAGATGTTTTTTAGTGTAGTATGAATTGCACAGTTAATAGAATAGTGTCATATCGCGTGTATCGGAAAAACATTCGCCGAGACCATTCGTCGAGACCATTCGTCTTCTTCAGCGGTCGTTTTTCAATTAAGTGACAATATTAAGAATCATAGTGACTTCAAGTAGGAAATTTCTAACATTACTAGAACGTATTCTAAAAGGGAATACACATAATAAATTATATCAAACAATATTTCTAGAATGTTAAACACTTAATACTAATTCAAATGTAATTGAACGTAATGAAACGATCTAATTAAATATAAAAATGATTGTAAGTATGAATGTATGAATTACTTGAAAGTAGAAAGTATAAAGAATAATATAAATTGCATTATAAGAAGGAATGGTGACTGAAGATGAATGGAACCTTGGGACGTTAAAGTATATTAAAAAAGAATATGAAAGAATGCGTATTATACCGAGAGAGAACAGAGAAAAGGAATTCTTAAAGAAGCGTATGAACGACAGAAAATGTGTGAAAGTGTCAGTGAGTCAATCATACATGAGTTGTAGTAGAGTCTTCGTCGAAGCTGAACCGTTTTATATGTTCGGGTGACTAAATTAGAAGACTTCTTGCGTGAGATTTTGACTTACACTATGATTCTTAAGTACATCATTCTACACCGCGATCACGCAGCCCGAAGAGTGAAAAGCCAATTCCGGTTCGTGGAAAAATGTTCGAATAATCATCATTAATGCAACGACTACATTCCGGCAACGTTTTATGTAATAACGATAAACGATGTAACGAGATACCGTGTGATGTGTACGTACGCAGGCCGATTTGATCTGATAAATATTAATCTTCCCCGGGCTAAATCGAACTTAATTACCCGTGCGGCAAATTGCCGAAGCTAAAACCTTGATGATACCCCGCGCAAATATCTTTCGTTTACATTGATTCGACGAACTGACTAATTGTAAGCTTGATTCCTAAAATATATCCGTAAACAGTACGAATGGTCTCTTTATAGATAAAAAATGGTAAAAAATGTCAGTGAAAGTTGAATGTATATATGTTTTTTTCATCTCTTTTTTCATTTGTTAGGCTTACGTATCATCTCGCCGTCGGGATCACAGATGCTAGACAGTCGACTCCTTCGAGTCATCAGCAACTGTCCTGAAACGTCAATGACACAACAAACGTGGATTCGATATACGCATACAATCCTGCTCCTCCACTTATTCCTTTAATTTCGTTCGACAAGGTTTCGAAAGTCGCCGACGAAGCCTTTCGAATCAACCAATCAAGACCGTATCTTCGGGCATGAAATTAATAAGAGACTACCCGGTTATTTAATATCCAACGCAAATAGCTTTTGCCCGAGAAAATTTCAGATATCGATTGAACGAGAAAGAGAATGCAACTCGCAGCATCCTTGTTCCAACGAATTTAATACGTCAAAAGACCTCGATACCGGTCTACGGTTACTATTGACTATTGGCAGAAACTAAATGAACACAAGCACCTTTGTCAGTTAGTTTGACAATGTAAGATTGGATTCATTTTTGTAAACCTTGTTTTATTTCGGATCATTCAACGTCAACCCTATCTGATAGAACTTATTACTATTTAGCAGATAGATTGTATGCTATTTATTGCAAAGTTTATAGAACGACATAAAAGGGTAAGCGACCAGGTAGCATGGCATCTCGCGAGGGTCTCCAAGGCTCAATATCGGTCACCCCGTTGCAACCGGTATGCCAGAAGTAGGGTGAACAGCCGGAGAAGTTCCTGACAAGTGGTTGGCTGGTTGCCACATACCGTTCAATAAATGCTGCAAAGTGCAACATACCATGGAAGAACGCTCACACGCGCGTCTCCGCAGCGGCTACTGACTACTTGGACGCTAATGGGAAGTGAACACCAATACGTCAGAGTCGTTTTCAAAGCTGTGTTTAAGCAATGTGACGTTCCATTCTTCTTTCTATCTCGTGGTAAAAGTTTCGCTCTCGCATCGGTACTTCCACGATTCTTACCTCGCGATTTTTTATCAGACACCGTGTAATTTAATTTTACTTTTGCTAAATAAAATATTTTAGCTGAACAAACATTAGTACTACTAAACATGACTTTCCTTTGTTTAGATAAAAATAATTTTTTCTGCGTACATGTATACATGTGGGAAGAGGTACATTTTTTATACATCTGTACGTCAGTTTAAGGAATTTTTATAGTGAGTTCTCACGTACGTATCTGAAATCTCGCGTTTGGAGTGGTGCATTCTTTGCCGGTTTTAAGCAAAATTTTTCCGAAGCCGCAGAGCCGCATGAGAGCGATTAACTCAAGTCGAGTTCGGCGCGGAAGCACCTACTTTAACCTCGAAAACTCGTGACCTACAAGAGACGTTTGTCTCTCAGTTTCTATTCGTGGTTGGTTATCGATCACGTAGCTCGAGCTTCGAACCTCGTTCGTCACATCATACCCCTTTCTTCCCCAAAAAGGGAAACAAACGAACGAGTGACGAGATTAGATTCACCAGAGTTCCTTGATCAATCATCTTTTTTATTACTGAAACCTCTGTAGCTCAGGTAGAATTTTAAAGATTGAAATATAGGAAGGAAGATTTAAACGAGACTAACACATGAGTCTAACTCAATAAAAACTGACAGAATCACATCAATTCAAATGAACATGTGAATATTTCAACTAACAAATATTTATTAAGCGGATACACTCCGATAGGCAGGATATCAATGTTGCCTACTAAATTGGCCAAAAATGTGGGTTTACGCCATTCGATTCTACGTCCTTATTTCTTAGAAAATCAACAGAAAATTTGTTTTAACGTTTAGATTGAGCTACACTCTACGGTGCTCTGGTAATTATTCATTTTATTATCATTTATAAGTGAAAATGTCTAAAATTTATCGACAGAAAGAAAAGTCGTGTAACTATCCTAGCTCTTTAATGACTTCGATAGTCTCGTTATTATACTACGTTCACTCATTTTTTCAAAAGTTCAGGACCGCGAGAAAACTTAACTCGGTCCTGGATAAAAGTTAGACATTAAGGAAGGAGGAATAGCCATTTGCGAGAACGAGGAAGGATAGAAGTAAACAGGGTACGCGCTATGCGAACCATAAACAGGTGGGTCTGCGACGCGATGAAAAAGAACGAAATAGGAAAGATAGAAAGCGTTTCTTAACTTGAGGAAAGAATAGAAGACGAAGAAAGAAAAGAACTTACTGGGCCTTTCGTTGTCGACATTTTCCTTATCAGCACTGTACGTTTGACGCTGGACGTGATGGTGCTTGTGGTGACGACGGTGTCTCCTTTCGCCGGGCAGATGCACGCCCACGTACACCGTGTGCGCTCTGTGACCTGGAAGCAGATGAAAGAGACACATTCACGTCAGTGGCTTCCGAAACGACGTGCGTTCCTCTGGTTCCTCTATGATTACCAATAATAAAGTTCATTCCCATAGCCGCGGCAGACAGAGGAAGAGAAAGGGAGAGACTAGTCTATATTTTCTTTATTTCCAATTGATAGAACTTTATACGTTGAAATAATAATACAATAATTATATTAAAGCTTTTAGAAGCATAGAATGACTTTTATTGTGTGTGTATAATTAAAAAATAAACATTCCCTCTTTTTCTCGTTAAGAAGAAAACTCTCGTTACGTCTTACAAATTCTATTAGCATAACAATACTTTTTAATGAACTTTACTGACATATATAAATTATTCTTAGTAATCACATTAACTAATCTCCGTGAAACATCCAAGTAAAAATCTTCAAATACTCAGATGATTGTATTTTACATATAAAAATTACAATATAAATTATTCTTAGTAATCACATTAACTAATCTCCATGAAACATCCAAGTAAAAATCTTCAAATATTCAGATGATATAAAAATTACAATACATATATTATCGTTTTCTGTGATAATAGACGGTTTTTATAATTGTCAATAAAATATCAGTGGCCCGACTTACGCTACTATTTAAATATAGCATTCGGCGCTAATTTTCTCATTAATCCGAATCGATTCGGTGGGCCGTGTAATGTCGACGGGTCAAGATCGCGCTGTGCCTGGGACAGGTGACCTCGAGACTAGGGTTCAATTCAATTGCACGTTGCCGAGCGAAAGTCTAATGATTTTCGAAGCACCGTAAGCTCTCTAGCTCTATGTGCAAACACGGAAGCCCAATCCGGCTGACCCAGAGCTGATTCGTGAAAGCGCGAGAAAACTCATGTAACAAACGCTGATGAGAAAACGAAAGAAGAGGTGTGTACCTTCGAAATCTTTTTCGGTGTAAGATTGATGAGTGATCCGAGCACCGGGATCTGTCGGAGCCTCGTCGTCACCTGTCCCACCTGCGTGGGTCACGCCGCCTCCACCCGGCTGCATCCACGGTCTAAAAAAAAAATTCATCATTCGAACACGCGTGAAACATGGCCCAGTAGTATACAGTAGTAGTTAAAAGATAGAAATTATCGTCTCGATTAATAATTCAGTTGTATACTATTAAGTAAACTAGTCATATACTTTTGCTACGTTCATTTTTTGCTTAAACAGTTACTATTGTTTATTAAAGTAAATTGTTACATAGAAAAAAATTGTCAAAGATTCGTTCAGGTTTAATTATCAATGATTTCTAAAAATCACTGTCATTCGAGGAATATTTCTGAATCACGCAACCGATTAAGGCGAATTTATTCACATTTGGTGGTATCAGAAAATGGGGATGAAACACGTTAACCCGCCAGTGTGCAGCGGACTCCGTTTTGGAGGTATATTTTTGAAACTAGTTATTAGTGCGAGAACGCGATAGCGACTAAGGCAGTTGTACTCGTGACGCTCGTATATATAGATGTACGGTACCGGCGGCGCAGCGGATTCGCCGCGAAACTGACCGATAACGTGTAAATTCGTTCCCCCGAATTCGCATTTGTTTCAGCAGCAGCGACAAGACGCGCGACGACGCTGGATTATGAGAGAAAAACGGTCGCGTGGAATCTCGTGGAATAATTCGCGGATGGTACGTCCGCTTCCCGACCGCACACGCGATTTTATAATGAATTAAACTTCCTCGACGAGACGCGCTTAAGAGTACTTTGTCCGTGCCGCTGAGTTTGTACGTGCCTCCTCAATGTTTCACGTATCGTTCACGAACGATGGCCAGTAGACCGCGGATTTTTATGCAAAATTAAACAATTATAGTATCAGTTAAAAGTATGTATAGAGTAGATCGTAAGCACAAGTTCCTTTTGTCATTTAAGCATTTCAATAAGCACCAAGCTATATCGTTAAACGCTGTTTTTATATTCTGCAGATTGGATTATCTCAAAAATGCAGAAAGTCCCTAATTATCAGTTAGTTTCATCTTCTGAATGTCTCTCTTATCGAATCTTGTAAAAGATGTTCAGTTTTAATGGATAAAACATATACACCTGTCCTTGTGTGTATTATATTCGTTACTACGCATTGTATAAGACACGTGTAGAAATTGAATTTCGTGGGAGATATGAAATGATATAATTTTGTGTAGGTGGATAAGGTTTCATTGTTTTGCTTAAATTGTTTTACTTAAATGGAATCATACAATTTTCAATTCATTAATTAATTCGGTTTATCATTCTGAATAAAAAAGTACATGGCGAAGAATGATTTATTTAATATAAGAATCGAGGGTGACGAAAAAGGGAACGCTTTACGTAATAAAACAAGTTCAACGAACATCGAATGTTTCTTATATTTCGTTCCGTGTTTAGATGTATCAATTTTATTTTTAACATCTTGTTCATACACTTGATGATGATCATACACTTATGTATGCATATTAATATACTATCCGTTCCATGAAACACACGAACAGACATTTGCTTGCCAACAATTTCGAAATTATTGAAAATGATGAAACTCACCGTTGCATATTATTCTCGACGATCTCAATTACACAAATTCTATTTTAATTGTATTTAACCCTCACAAACATTGGAGAACGTGAATGCGATGAGCACGATCGAGGGTCCAGCTTCTTCTATGGTTTGTACCACGACGAACAGTCATTTTCACGGGACAATGGACGTAGGTGAAAATTCGCTACATCCGGCGACGTATAAAAGGAAACATTTATTTTCGAGTGTGAAAAGGTGCCTCATCCCCATTAAATTATAACATAAGTAATAATTGAAACAAATTTCACGTAACACGAAGTGCCAGCTGCGACACGCAATACGATACATGTGCGTAATAATATAGGTAAATAAGCAGTAATCGTAATCAGTTAACACGTGCGATCGCAGACACCAGCTGATTATTGTGTCACAGCCAAAGCAGATTTGTTTTGTAGTAGATACGTAGGTACGGACAGTATAAATGTGTCTGGCGTAATAAAGATTCGTCAAAAGCACTTTCGGCAGACTGACTTGTAAAAAGCTCTGCGCAGTGCCGAGAGCTAACGACACGGTAACGACAGATAATGACTGCGTTTAATACTAAGTTGGCATGTATCCAATGTCGTTTATTTAATCGAATATTATATAATTTCTGTAAAATATTAGATATTAAATTCAAACGATTTCCGTATTAAATTGGTATTTAGTTACTCTAATATTTTTCAAATTTTAATCAATTTTAGAAACAGATTTTCAAATATGCTTGAATTAATCATTTTTAATTATTGCGTAGGATAACAATGAATTTTTAATATCTTTACTGTATATATTATTCATTATGATTGATACTGACTAATAGTTAATTTAAACATGATACCATCATTTTGGTGGGACAAGTTCAGAAATAAAAGACGACGTTCCATACGTATCAACCTAGTAGCTATTCGAAAGAGTTAACAGTTCGCTGGAAGTCAAAAGAAATTACTTGTTCGTGATCGAAAAAGCTGTTTCGTTCGAATTTCATTCGCGAAAGAACATTGGGTCAAAAGAATAAAACTGCGAGCACATGTACTGTCATTCTTGTCAGCGGGGAACTCGTCGAGATTAATCATGGAGAATGGCATCGCAGCGTGTGACCAGATAACATTTATGAATGCTACGTAACTAGTAATTGTTTATCGCTTTTTCACTAATTATCGAGCAAAAGTATGTTATCGCATGTATAATTATGCAATGAGAGCGAACTAGCCACATCATGTTACAATGAAGTTTTACGAATAGAAACAAAGTTATCACGTCATATGTATAAATTGTTATGAGTGCTACACGGCAAAACGATTATAAGTATCGCGATTTTATGGTATGAACACGTATTGTCTACTGCAAACTAGTCACATTATGGTAATATGTAATTAACAATTTACATCTGTTTTTTTCTGTTCGTTACATAATTACATACCTATCGGCGATGCTAGTAACCCTTTGGACTGTGTTTCTACGAAATACCAGTACATCTCAATCAGACACTGTCACGTTGCGAATTAATCACAGTTAATCCTTTCTCGTTTGACGTCGCGCATCTTTTTCTTCTAATGCGCGGTGTAATAAGTGTTTAATATAATGTAATAAATTTCTTCCTATCTTTTGTATATTAGATGTGTGATAAATAATACTCTATTGCCAACTAAAAATTGACTATTCCTTTACATTTTTCTAATCGTATTTTAAAATACGTAATTCAATTATACAGATTGCTCTATTGTCTCGCATTTATATTCTTCTCGATTAACTCTTTTATGTACTTTTGTGGGCTACATGCGTCATATGTCTTCCTCTAATCTTCTCTGATTTTGTTCGCATAGAAGTAATTTCTCCCGAGCGTGAAATAGTTCGGTAAACAAGATTAATGATTCTCAAACGGAGTTCGGTTACAATGTAAGCGTAACGGAAGCCTGTACGTCCGAAGAGGGTAGACTGTCTAATCGAGGCTGATTACAGGAATGTCAAGATCGTGACAAACGTCGAACATGTCGGAAGATTAGCCAGCCGCCAAGTGGATAATTACCGCGCTATGATTATCTTCTGCTGCGTCCTACCTACCTATGTAATGCGCTTGTACGTAGTTTTACATAATAGAACCGGGCCACCTCGTCCCCCGTCGCCGTCACCACGCCGCGTCGACAAAGGGAGAGTGGTATAATAAACGAGGGGACAGACAAGATAATTGTTTAATTGTTGGAGGTCACCGGGTGTCCGTCGATGATAAAATTCTCGACGCGGATTAGCGCGCACGCTTCCGCGGTTGACTGTTTATCAGCGTTGCTTTTAAAATCCCCCTTTTCGCTCGAGAATCTTCGTAGGGAGAATCAAAACCAGTTACTACATGATGCGATAAGAACTTAAAAATAGAACACCTACTTACCTATCGAATACCGAAAGTATAGACTTCTTACGGAAATTAACGATAATTATGAATAGATTCAATGAAGTGTACTAACAAGCGACCAGCGACAACAGTAAATCAAAAAGTCCTTGTGAGACATGTACTTTTTTCTAGAATTCTAACAACGAGTATCATCTGTGAGGCTCGCGAGTCGCGTAGCGTGTGTACTACGTATTGTGGACAACGCGACCGGTGCGACTAATTGAAACGTAAAAGTATAATGATTGAGATAAAGGCTTGTTACTGAAGGAGCGTCTAACGGTGCGGATGCACCGCTCGATTTGTGAGCTACGCGACAAGGATTTCTAACGAGAATGCCGATACTCTGCCAACTCCTGCCAACAATGCCGTCAATTGCTGGAGCAGGAAATTGAAGGAATCAGACTGCAGATCAAAATGTTCTCTTTTACTAATTAGTTCACGTACTTTTAATCCCATATATTTCACTATTACACATTTCCATATTTTATCTTTCTTCTCTGGCATTATGAAATAATAAAAGTATTAAACACACAGCTCTTGGGTATACATGCATACATAAATTACAGTGCGCTTTGTTCTATAATTATAACATATCTAATAATTTTAACGTATCCCTGAAAACAAATTTGTGTATTTCTGCAGGAGATAATTAGAGTAGGCCTCAGGTACCTTACAATTTTTTTAATTAATTGCTTTTGCTACAAATCTTACCCTGCTGTATAATAAATCACTATTATGTAACAAATTTGATTCAAATCTTGTTATGTAACGTATTTCTATCATTTGCTATAATAACTTATTCAATTTCGTGTAGATTGTACAACAAAATGTGTTAAGAATCTCCACTCCTTAAAAATCTTGAGGTAATTGCTGGTCTCTCTTTTATTGGTACTGCAATCTCGAAATGACTTATGTTTTCTACTTTTACCATTATTTATGTTTTTCATAAACGTTCGACCAGTTTATTTTATAAAAAATTTTGACATTGCCATATACAAATGCCATTATAATAATTTTTAGATAGAATTTGAAATTGTCGTTTGCCATAGAGTTTACAAATTTAGTACCGAGTTTAACTCATTTTTGCAAGAACATGATAGCCAAACATATATAAATATGAATTAGGTCAAGAACGAATTCTTTAAAGCTACATGCACGGTGAGAAAAACTAGGAATCTCTTTTTTCAAACTGTTACACATGAGACAGATCATATAGGATGACATCGACGGGTCGCGGAAAAGCGCACTCTAATGGCCTTTTCACACTACGTTTTCCGCTCTCATATTCCGCCCGGGCAACCAGTACCGTAATAAAAAATGCAATATAATAGCGTGTAAAAGCTGGATGACGCTCAGTGGACTCGAACTTTTGTGCGTAAGCAAGGATGAAAAATACTGGTCAGACACCTGCTGGAGTCGAGTGCGGAAAACTTCGAAAGCGATTTTTTAGTGATGGGAGAAACAGATTTCTCCGCGCGGAAAAAGTGTCGGTTTGATGATGTCGGAAATGACCTTCTCCTGTGAAATATAAAAATGTATGTACGTAGTGACGATGAATAATTTCGGGAGCGGAAAACGTTGTATGAAAAAGCCATAACGTTATTCACGCGTGTTGGCGGGCGCACGAGAAAAATTTCGCAACATGCCGCGTTGCGTAAAATTTTCAAGACTATTGGTAGTACACACAGCATTTGACTGGTTTGCGTATTTTAAACTTGGAAATTCAGAAATAATTGAGTAGCGTGAGCAATAGTTCTGCCGTTGAAAGGATTTGACACGTGCATTGTATACAGAATTGCCACAGATAAGTGTCCACATTTCGAAAAATGTAAATTAGTGAATTCTTAAAATAAAATGCAGAACAACATACGAAAGGTGAAACCTGCATCGTTTCTAGGCTGAGATTATATAAATTCTGATTTCGCATAAAAGTCAGGCATGTTGACACGTCAATCTCAAGTCTGGAGGTCTCGCTTTTTTGATTCTATCTACCATACACACCGGCATTGGAAACGTTAATTCTCGTCTGCATATTGTTTGCCTTCCTTTTTTTATTGATATATTTCTCGCTCGTAAAACCGTGCCACATTACGATAAAATACGCTCGCGTGAGACTCTCCTTTATTTGTCATGCCAAACGTTATTAAATCAATTTTAAGTGTATAACGTTTTCACGTTGTAGATAATTTGTGCGTCTGACAAAAAATGTATGACGAAATCGAAGACATTAAGACGAATCGTCGCAAATGGGCAATGATAAAAGTGAACTGAAAGATAAAGGACGGTGTCTAAAATTTCACCGCAATAGGTAATGTCGTTAAGCAGCAGGCAGTGAATTTCACGTATCGTATCCAGTAAAACAAACAAAAAATCGTTACGAAATATTGATATCGAACGACTTCGTAAGTTAACGATAAGCTTCCGTTCAGCAACGACGGAATCTAGCATAGTTAGTAATAATACGTATATGATATACAAACGATAAAGATAAACGATGCACCTAAAATCGGCCTTCAGCAAATATTGACAATAGTTCCCTTATATTGCGATAACGGTGAGGTTGAAGTGCACCGTACAGACTATAATCGTCTCTGTCGTTACTTTTATCGAGAATCAACGAAAAATATGCGGTCTGTTATCGCCTACACGTGGATTGCTCATTCGCTTCCTGGTCATTCTAGGCAAGCACGTCTACATACACACACACAACGAGAAGATAAGGCATCTCGCGGTCGGTTTCATTATATCGCATCGTAAGTTGGCGATAAATCGGTGCGAAAGATACGTGGTCACGAGATGACCCTCAGGGTCGTTGAAATTTGCATCATGCTACGACTTACGTACTTACTTTACGCGTTTCCCAATTCATAGTCTGAAGTCTACAGTCCTTAAACGACGCGACGCGACGCTAACACTTTTCTATTCTAATCACTAGTTTAACATGAACTCTGATGTGTCATAATGTTATATCATGTTTCATTGAAATCAATTCATAAGCTATTTCTCATTACGAGAGATCGTAAGATTGCTTTCATGAAACCCAGGTACATTTATACGCGAAAAATGCGCTTTAAGGTAATAGCAGTCAGCAGTATCGAGTGACTCACTGTTGACTCCAGTTAAAATCAATTTTTCCAAGAAAGATCTGCATCTCCATTTTTGGTAAGAGAGAAATCGTACTTGTAAAAACCGAAGTTCATGCCAACGCTGAATTTCTTCGTGGGCTTGAGTAGTCTCGGCTGTGATTAGTCAGACATTCTTCATAGCATATATCGCAGCATCCATGCACGGATTTCGATAGTGTAGTAGCCCACAGTCCCAGCAGTAATGTAAATAAATATGTAGGCGTGGGCGTGATTGTCTCACAACACGCTGTTGATGTGATAGCACCCAACGCGGCGCAGCCCGGTGGGACCACTCTTGAGACTTACAGGTAACGTACTCTGTACTACACGACACGGTATACACGCACTTATACAAGCGGGAGGTCTAAGCAGCGCGATGATCACCGATCGACTGTTTACTACGCACGGCTGACACGACACGCAGCATGTTTATACTTCGTGCACAGTGTACCCGTACTCGAAGGCCTCTTCTATGAACGGTCAAGGCGTCTGTCCACGCGCACCTCGTCAAGTAACAAAATATGAACACCCCCGTTCCTAAATTATAACATTAAAATTGATAAGGTTAAAGAGTTATCATTTCTCATTGCAATTGATCCATGAAAATTGGTTGTAATTTTTATATGAAATGCAATTTTATTAAAATTTATGACTTATTCTATGGTTTGTTATACCACTCATTTAATAATTTACTGTAGTCTGTCAACTGCAGTAATCTCCAATGATTACTAATTAGGAACGTTTATTAGACTTTCTCATAGGCAATAAACAGCGTGTGTCTTTATGAACGGAAATGTACTATAAGCAATATAATTACATTTTTGCCTGACAACTCTACCTAGATATGTAATCTCTCACATATACGAAACGAAAAATAGCATATCTGAATCTGTCTTTAAGAAAGCTTTCCCTTTCTCGCGAGAAACTTCTTTTCACAGGCGGTGCTTTCCGAAGTTGTCGACAAGAAAACTTTTGGAAATCGACTTATGAATCTTCCGATCGTCTTACTGGAGTGATTTCCAGACCCTTCCTGAGAGAACGTATTTATTCTTCTTTCTTCGAATGTTTCCCTCGTTTCTTTTCGTTTCATCATCGTTTGATGGAGGTAAAAGTTACTTTACTTAAACGTACTTTTTTATCTGAAGAGAGTATTACATTTGTTTTCCGATAACGTACAAGAAAAGAAGTTAATAACATACTCCACTTTTTGAAAGAATGCTCTTCTTTACGTATACCAATTGGTTTTATCTTATATTTTACGATAAGGAAAGATACAAATGTTACGTTAATTCAATCATTGAGCGTACCTCCCTAGTGTAGATATATTAAAACGAAAAAATATGTGTTTTATGAAGGTATATAAAGATAATACAGATAACGCACAATCTAAATAAAAAGCGTATTTTAAGAATGTATAATAAATTGGATAAACGCAAATGCGTGCTTCTCTGACGAACGAAAGATTTCGAGGATCTAGGTATTTCGGGACCAGAATCGGTCCTGTAAGAATCGGCACGCGTATTGTGTAAATAGACACAATCAATCGTTGATTTCATTCGCAAACGTTTGCGCTGAAGAATTGATATTGACGATTTTATGTTTACGTGCTCTTTGCAGCTCTTTGCTAACCCTTCCTCAAACAACCGATCCTCGCAGCTTACAATTCTTGTTTCATCGAAAAAGCCGCGAAACACGTTGCTTGCTCGAAGTATCTCTTTATCACGAAACGTAGTTAAAACGATCAAGATGAACTAATAGTTAATTTCAACCTGCAATTATTATAATCATTTGCATAACGATTGTTTCACATTCACCAATACAGCTTTGTTGTAAGTTACTTGCTTTCGCACAACGAGAGGTAAGCAGTTTAGGTCTGGGTCAACAACATTCTTCTGTGGTCGCAGAAAGCTAACGTTAGCCGTTGCGAGACCTCATTCCGATCTACAAATATCAAAGAATCGTGTGAAAACTGGCCGAAACCAGAGCCAACCAGTAAACGCCGATTCCGACCGGGATTATTCGCGTGTGCAAATGTACTATAAGCAATATAATTACATTTTTGCCTGACAACTCTACCTAGATATGTAATCTCTCACATATACGAAACGAAAAATAGCATATCTGAATCTGTCTTTAAGAAAGCTTTCCCTTTCTCGCGAGAAACTTCTTTTCACAGGCGGTGCTTTCCGAAGTTGTCGACAAGAAAACTTTTGGAAATCGACTTATGAATCTTCCGATCGTCTTACTGGAGTGATTTCCAGACCCTTCCTGAGAGAACGTATTTATTCTTCTTTCTTCGAATGTTTCCCTCGTTTCTTTTCGTTTCATCATCGTTTGATGGAGGTAAAAGTTACTTTACTTAAACGTACTTTTTTATCTGAAGAGAGTATTACATTTGTTTTCCGATAACGTACAAGAAAAGAAGTTAATAACATACTCCACTTTTTGAAAGAATGCTCTTCTTTACGTATACCAATTGGTTTTATCTTATATTTTACGATAAGGAAAGATACAAATGTTACGTTAATTCAATCATTGAGCGTACCTCCCTAGTGTAGATATATTAAAACGAAAAAATATGTGTTTTATGAAGGTATATAAAGATAATACAGATAACGCACAATCTAAATAAAAAGCGTATTTTAAGAATGTATAATAAATTGGATAAACGCAAATGCGTGCTTCTCTGACGAACGAAAGATTTCGAGGATCTAGGTATTTCGGGACCAGAATCGGTCCTGTAAGAATCGGCACGCGTATTGTGTAAATAGACACAATCAATCGTTGATTTCATTCGCAAACGTTTGCGCTGAAGAATTGATATTGACGATTTTATGTTTACGTGCTCTTTGCAGCTCTTTGCTAACCCTTCCTCAAACAACCGATCCTCGCAGCTTACAATTCTTGTTTCATCGAAAAAGCCGCGAAACACGTTGCTTGCTCGAAGTATCTCTTTATCACGAAACGTAGTTAAAACGATCAAGATGAACTAATAGTTAATTTCAACCTGCAATTATTATAATCATTTGCATAACGATTGTTTCACATTCACCAATACAGCTTTGTTGTAAGTTACTTGCTTTCGCACAACGAGAGGTAAGCAGTTTAGGTCTGGGTCAACAACATTCTTCTGTGGTCGCAGAAAGCTAACGTTAGCCGTTGCGAGACCTCATTCCGATCTACAAATATCAAAGAATCGTGTGAAAACTGGCCGAAACCAGAGCCAACCAGTAAACGCCGATTCCGACCGGGATTATTCGCGTGTGCGATCGGACAGGTGATTATTTGCATCAAGCACTAAGTAGCCGACGTCGTGCCGTGTTGCGTCGCGCCACACCGCGCTCGTCTCACGATTGGTGAGACGTATGGCAAGTAAAGAAGGTAAGGAAAAACACAAGGTGGGGAAAAACGTCGACTGCGCGCACGCGAATTGCTTAGTCTCTTACTCATTATCGGGAACGTTGATAATCATCGGCAAAAATAAGATAGCTAACGCTCCGCAGAAGAACACGACCTCTTGTCGTCATTATTAAATAAAAATGCGCTTTAACTAATAACCAACTTGCATTCGCAAAATTAGTAACGTAATCAGAGAAATTCGACAAGTGCGAATATAAATGTTTAACAATTATTTTAAAGGAATAATAATTTTTGAAGTAGATATTGTGTATTTACAGTAAGCGAAATGTCTATAAACGCATGTAAATATCTGTACTATGCCATTAGCATCGATTCTTCTTGTGGTTTCTTAAAAAAACACGTTTATAGTTACATTTTATTGTATTCATCGCTTTTTTATTTGCAGTTCAAGTTTTCCTCCTCGATGAAAGCAAGAATCGCTTTCATTTTCAAATCGGCGGAAAAGTCAATAACTTTCAAAGGGTTTATACAAATTGCGCTCACTGTATCAGGTAATAGGAACAATTTCATCGATTGGCATATAAACTAAAAAATATTAGAAGTGCTGTTATCAGTAAATGCTCCCAAATTGATTTTATTCAGTGAATCTCTTTTTGTCAAACATTTAATATCATAATCGGTCAAAACTATTATTAGCAGACATTATTACATTTCCTTTCCTCTAGCACTACATAGCGTATTACATTTCCTTTCCTTTAACACTAGTACAAATGAATAAAGAATAAACGGAAATAGCAAATTTAATTTTTCATTTCACAGTGAGCATGTTTGAAGAGTTACAAATTAGATCTATTTGATATAATGTGTACATACACAAGTTAACTATGTCTATTTGACACTGGACAGGCTTCCAATGCCTTAAACCGTATTCAATTATTATCCTTTTATGCCTATATCGGCTATTTAGCGTTAATCAACGTCTAATTCTTTTATAAACGACACGACGTTACGTTAATTGGCAGCATAGCTTGATAGAATAGCTTTCTTTATTGCTATCAGTGGATTAGGCTCATAGATTGATAACAGACTGGATGAGAACATTAATCGCTACTAAGTGGTACATAATATAATACGTATGTAAATGCTTCGACGAAAAGATACTCCACGGAGTATATTTATTATTATTATTATTATTATTATTACTTATCTAGCATGGTTTCATTGATGTGTATCATATTTTAATTTCTAAAATCGTAAAAGTGCAATTAAAATTCAATTATACCTGATAGATGGTCAGAAAGCCTTTTTCACAAGTAATTAACGGGATACCGAACGAAAGTTTAAAATGTAGTCTGCTGATTTCGATTATCGTCTTGACATTTGTTTATTGCTATTATTCCATATCGTATTTCTTAAGAAATGAAAAGAATAAGATTAAAATGAATGTTATATAATGATATGCGACATGAACGATACGTCAATAAATAACTTATTAAATATTTCTTTTATTTATGAATAAATATTTTTATAAATTCAATATATATTACATCTATATTTCGACAGAACAAAACTCTTTTTTAGACATTTTACTGAGACCAGTGAGTATGAAATAATTCTGGATGACAACTGTTCTTGACGCACTCTATAAAAGTGTGACACTTAAACTTTTTTTTGTCAGTTATTGTAATTGAAATGATAATAATGAATGTATATGTCAGAATACAAAATGCAAGTGATATCAATCACATGTTTAAAAAACTGGAGATGACGATACTTTGGGTTTGTCATACGAAGGACTATTTTTTACGACATAAACTTAAGACAATATTTTTTTACATTTTCGATTACCGATAATTAAATATTGTGTGATAAATGAAAATATCATAAGCCGACCTAACATTGATTCCCTGTACCATTTGCATTCTCAGATACATATATGTTTATCATCAGTGTTAAAGTTTTAGGGAAGGAAAGATACTCACCCTCTAATTCACTATAAGACTCGAACGTCCTTTGACCGGGAGATTTTTGTCGTCGACGCTGTCGCGTTCTATCAGACAACCCGCATCACACCCGATTGAAACAAGACTCGAGATCTCGATCACTTAATCACCGGAAACCACCGATACTCGCGATTAGGAAGTCATTTCATGTTCTGCACAGATACAATGTCGCAAGCTAGAATCAGAGGACGAAACTGCTATGGAGACGATAATGCGATGAGGTCGCCCGCAAATGAATTTATCATACGCTAATCAGGTGATAAACAATAAAAAATGGGAAGGGGAAAGCGATAAAAAAATTTGTCTAACCCCACCACCTGCTTTGCTAATACACTCTTCCAATCACTTCCGATCGAGATGTAAAATAATCGGCTGCCTCGCCCTTCGTTCGCGATACTTCACCAGCCGTTCTTGTTTATAATCGAGCTTAATTTATTCTACCTTTAACAAACGAGATTCGATTATATCAAAATGAGATCATTTTCAGATTATCATTTGATTATTTATTTTTATTAGACGTCATATGTTTGAGCAGTAGTCAGTAAGATTAGATGAGAAAATAAATACGTGTTTAATTCTGAAGAGAACGATTTCTCTTATCTCACTAAAGTATTTTAAAGGTAAGTGCGATACTTGGCGAATGTTCAGTTCTTCAATCATTTTACTAAAAAAGATCAACCCTTTTTAACGGTCCTGAATGGCTGACGAGCTGGATATTCGTCAAGTAAGACTGCGGCTTAATAAGCGTTTCATCTTTTATATAGAACCTCTTAACTTTGAAAAGGAATTAAAGTTTTCGTCCAGAGGAACTCGAGCTGAGATTATCAGGACGAAAAAGAAGAAGTTCCAGTCACTCTAAGATCGAGTATCCTGACAGGTGTCAGACCGCGAACCGATTAGGAGAGATAAGGGTCAAACATCGAGAAAGTTTAACGCGCGAGACCTCCAAACTTCTCTCCGGGTTGCAGCAGGGCGTCATTATTTGTTGGGACCGGTCTAAGAGGTTCTGGTTGAACAGCGAATCGTCGGCCGATTGGAAGAAGAATCGGAAGAAAAAATGGCTCGAACGTATGTATGCGAGTAGTCGTTGAACCCTTATGCGATATAGCTCACTACACGGAGGAGGGCTCGAGCGAACATGCAGCGCGTATCCGCGGCGCGAGCATACTGCTGCCCGCGGACGTCGGAAGCAATTCCACCAGTTCCAACCCTCTTCGGTATTGATCCACGTGGACCTCCTCCGACTCGTCTCCTCCACGAACCCCACCGCCTCTTTGGGCTCGAACTATCCACCGACCGATGACTACCGCCCCATTCACACCAAACTCTCTGTCAACCCGTTTCTTATTTCTCCCTGCGTTATGGGTCCTTTTTTATTTACAAGATTAACTTTAACAGTAAGAGAATTGAAACAAAAATTTGGATATGTCATAATTGCGAACTGTTCATAAATCCTTCGAGCGACGATACTATTCAGCTAGTATCGTTGAATTCGATTAATCTTATAAAGTGATATTATCCAGAAAACTCTTGTTATTATTTTTCTCTGCCTGATTTACATTAAAATAATGTTATAACGGAGTGACGTTCAAGGGACAAGATGAGAAGAAATCAATTGTGCAGATCCTGCATAAACCTATTCTTTTGAGTCTTTTTCGGCGAAAGCATTTGAGCTAAGTTGAGAGAAGAAATAAATAGAAGATGCGAGCGTCTGACTATGAATATCTTCGTGAGATAAGGGATGTATAATTTACGATCGTTCTTAGTGGATGAGTCGGAAGTTAGAGGCGGACAAATCGTCGCGAATGTAGGTCGTTGACCCATATCACCCATGCAAAAACACCGCCGTGGCGTCGACCGTATGTTAGAGCATGTACTACTGGAGGCAGCTTCCGTACTTGCACATATGTCGAAATTGTAGACAAACCCATAAAAGGAGAGAAATGTAGTTTATCTACATAGTGTCTTTTTTCGTAGTACGGGAGAGACCCTTCTCCTTCAAATTGCTTCAAACATATCACTTTAACGTTAACTATTGACGTTAGCGAAAAATTTTTACATGGAAATTGTAGATCTCATCGTCCTCTACAAAATGGTTCTATAAATTTGCCTCTAAGTCCATCCGTTTGGGAGTTATTGGCCAAAAACGAAAATTTGGAAGAAATTGAAGGAAAAATCTCGGAAAAATCGAAAATTTTTTTTTGTTGTTTATTATTAGCAATGTTCTTCCGACGTCTGATTTCTTTTTAAAAAATGAGTTTCTAAAGTGCATAAACTTTTGGGACTGACGGTATAGCCAATACATCCTTAATTCACTTCGCTATGTTCGATTATAACATCAAGGAGATATCTGCTCGGTGATTACAATAAGTACGAAACTACATTACCCTCATCTTATGGTAAATGTTCAAATGAATTTGCAGGACTCTGCTCATTGGTGAATCAAATCTTGTATTATCAAATATTGTATATATTGGGAAAGATCAGCGGTGGTCAATAATTAAACACTATTAAATATTTTTAATAACGCTTTATTTTAAAGCTCTAAAATAATTAAATTTAATTTAATTAATCTTCAACCACCATTGTTGGATGCTTGTTCAACAGTATAGATAGAATCATAAAATAGATTTGTATTCACGAATAATTACATTCAGAGTATCAATAACTCTTTATTTATATTTTACGTTAATCAATGAACTCGAATTGGACGAGGCATGTTTTCCAATTTATGCTTGATAGTCGGTATGTTTAACTGATGAAAGACATCTAAAGTGTCCTTCACAAACTGATCCATCATGACCCGAGTATGCTTCGGTGTTGGGGCCAGCCTTAATTTCTCTTCCCCTTTTGGAACAGTCGGATAATTGATCGCTTGAACATAATGTCCCTTTTCTTTTATCAATGAATCAGCCACTTGACTACACAGCAATGCATCTCCGATCTGAAAAGCATTTAAGAATAAGTACTGATATTCAAAATATCCAGAGGAGAAAACTCACTTTTATTGGAATTATGTGCGAAGGTGACGGTTCTAACGGAAGACCCGCGACATTTAAAATTGATTTCATGTAAGCTACATTATTCTGATGTGCAGCTCTTAACGCTCTTCCTTCGTCCGAAGCCAGAATTTCAACAGATGTTAAAGCACCATAAAGGACAGTCGGCGGTAACGAGGTCGTGAAAATAAAACCCACCGCGTAACTTCTTACCATGTCTATCAATTTCGAAGTGCCAACAATGTAGCCACCAACATTTCCAAATGCTTTCCCTAGAGTTCCAGATATAATATCCATTTTATGGAGCACCCAGTCCCTTTCACCGATACCAGCACCTGAATATCCATATAATCCAACAGCGTGAACCTCGTCAATGAATGTCAGAGCACCATACTTATGTGCAACATCGCATAATTCTTCTAAGGGACATATGTCTCCAGTCATTGAATGTACTGTTTCAAATGCCACGATTTTTGGAATTTTCTTGTCTGCTTTGGAGAGCAACTCTTCCAAATGTTGTATATCATTGTGCCTGAAGATATGCTTCGGCACTCCACTGTTTCTTATACCATGAATCATGGAAGCGTGATTCCCAGCATCAGAAAAAATATGACAGCCAGGTAGAAGTTTTGCTAAAGTGTATAGGGTGGAATCATTGGCAACAAAACAGGAAGTGAATAGAAGACCAGCCTCTTTTTGATGCAAGGAAGCAAGCCTTTTCTCCAGCATCACATGTCCCACGGAATTTCCAGATATGTTCCTTGTTCCACCAGCTCCCGCTCCAAACTTATCTAATGCCTCTCTAACAGAACCTGTTACTGCTGGATGCCGTGACATTCCCAAGTAATCATTAGAACACCATACAGTGATCGGTTTCTCACCCCAGGAATACTCCATAGCACTTGGAAAGCTCTCTGCTAACCGATTCACTTTCTTAAAGACTCTGTAGGAATGATCTTTCTTCTTTCTCATGATTTGTTCATGGAAAAATTCCTCGTATGGAAAACTTGAAGTTCCCTTTGACTCCACAGATGACACATTAATTATGTCTTCCTCTACTATAGGATTTGCCACTTTTACAGCATTCTGCTCTTTAGCAAGGAATGGACATTGAGTGTTTATAGTTTTTTCAATTTCCTGTACCTCCTCAGACTCTGCCTGAGTACTAAAAAGTTGAGACATTACTGGGCAGAGCTGGCGATACTTCATGATCACAGAAGATCCGTAATTGCGAATGTAATTCGCAGATAAACGTGTCAAGAATGGGCAAGGCATATTTTTTATATTCCCTGAAACACACAATTAATTATTCATATAAAATAGGAACGTAAATATTATTCTTAATAAAGCGAGAATATGATTGACATATTTAACATAGTTATGTAACAAGTATTTCTTTTTAAATGATAACGACAGGAATAAGCTGCTCTAATTCCATCTGTGGAACGAAATCGAGGTCAACGGCGTAGAAAGCAAACTGGCCAGTAAAAGAGAAAGTGATACGATTGATCACGATGACATGGCATTTAAGGGAATTGACAATATCTTACCTGTTACAACGCTAGACAAGTGTTTCGTGTTAATGTAATAGGCACACTGACGGGCGAACTGAAAGATGTAAAATAGATTATATTTGATTAGCTATCAAGTTGAAGCACGGATCAATGTTGTCGATAGCCAATGATATCAATTCTATAAAATGTGTCACACTGTCTAAGGACGATTCTGGCTCCGTATAGCGTTATCGACTTCACTCGGTGACAGGTAGTTCGCAACTGAGCGCATCAGCTCCGCGAAGTGCGCTTATTAAAAAAGTCGGTTCAATTCGAGAGGTGAAGCCGGCGGTTTTTTGTATGTATAGTACGTACGCGAGCGCACTTTCCTTATAGCCTTCGAAAAATCCTAGTCATGCGCAACCGTAGAAGCAAATCATTGATTACAAAAGCAATCTCGTTGATTATTCACGAGGATAGGGATTCAATATAGATTCTACATGATACTTTTTATTGATGAATCACTTGATCTCAAGAGATACAATCAATTGAAGTACAATCAACAATATAGTTTCAATCATTCAATAATTCAATCAACAAAGATATATTAGTTATATAAGGGACATTCTGCGAAATCAGAATGAAATAAGTTTGTATATTTAACATCGATTAGTACTAAGTTCATTGATCAATCATATAATTTTACAAAAAATGGATTGGTGGATTTTACTATTTATTGCAATGATACTTATTGCTTTATTTTATTATTGGAGAACGTGAAGCACGTGCACGAATAATTAAATTTACATAACATGATTTTGCATACATCCTTGAAGTCACTATCTAAGTAATAAACTTCCTCACATTGTTGTATTCTATGATAATAACATACTTGCGATAATATTATCACAACTGTGTGGGAAGATTGTTAAAAAGTTCAACTATTTACATAGTAAATATATCCACTCACTTAAAGTTAACAATAATATAAATTAAAAACTGGGCAATATATTTTAATTAGTTTAACGAAGATTGCAATCGAATTAATTATGATTATCAAATATCGCCGTTAATTCATATCGAGCGTGACGATTGTCATTGCGTCAATACTGTATGTATGTTAATTAATTAAGCAATCGGACATGCAAAGAAACGTTCAAGCTGCTATCCAAATAAAATATGAATCGCGTACACGTAATTGTACAATCCAATTCAATTAACAAGGGTAACTGAAATACGAAAAATACGAAGGTCGAATTCAGTAAAGCAATATAATAGATTATTTATATATTTATTAGAGTGAAATTTAGAATAAAATATGCGAATAAAATTGTATTTCTTATATTCACGCGGGCACTTAAGATTCACGGATACAATATGTTTCAAGTACTCACCATACTAATAGAAGACAGCTTTCAACAATAATTTGTTAGTTTCTAAATAGGATAAAAAAAATAGCCAAAATCCAAGCGGTTTTAATCGTTGGTCGCAATCGAACAATTGATAGCACACACGATGTTTTTGCGACTGACATAATCGTGCTACCAATGTCCGTAGTATATTTAATGATTCCGGTTTTGATTACATTACCGTTTCTTTCTTTCTGCAAACTCATGTCTACGTTAGGCACGAATGAACAACTAATCGCCATTCTTGATTGGATCTGTATTATAACTCACTGCTCCTTGAATAAGTCAAGATCAGAATATTCAATATTCATGCTATCTACTTATGTTTAGATACTAATTATTCCTATCCGAAACTGTTGATAATACCTGGCGGCTATCCTTACAAATGAACACGATTGAAGTACAACAATAAAATTGTTTTTAAAACCACACTCTATTGTGGTTTATATTGACGCTGTGATAATAAATATCTCTACATTATTAATTGAAAACTTATAAATGCTACATCATAACATTAAATTTTTCATACATGCTTTCTATTAATATCTACATCTTGCTTGAAAGAGATGCGCAATTATAAACTCATATATGAGATGCATAAATACATATTTGTTTATATTGAATCACATAATGATTTAAAAAATCCCGCGCGATCAACGATAATTTCGACTTTTAGACGATTTCACTGAGATTCTTCTACATTCAAAGAGACTACAAAAACGCGGTAAAAACCTGATAAGCGACCACATTCACTCGATGAAACATCAAAATCCTTTATTAGAACCACTAGAACAAAAGAAGACGCGACAGAAGAAAGAATACCGTTTTTGAAAGAATACCGTTAAAATTAAAACTTCTCTTTGAAGTCCTCTCTTTTTTCCACCAACACGTCGACCAAATAGTCTCCGAATTTAACCGTTCGTTATGATTATGCATGTATGCGTGCACGCGCATGTGTATATACATGCATACTGCATGTAGAAATATATATTACGTACACATCGTGAGGGAACGACCAATCAGAAAACGACAGCGCTGCGCGGTTATCCTGGCTAACTTCTTGCGAAAGCCACGTCTTCGATAAGCAGCAGTGAGTAACGAGGAAGTTAGTGTCATTTGAGTCAAAGAAGAAGGATTTTAATTTAGGATTGAATAGCACCGTGATTCACGATGCTGCCTAAGTACTTTGCCTTATTGTTTTTGATCTTTGCGATCGTTTCCGCTGAAGAAAAGGACGTCTTAGAGCTTACCGATGGAACGTTCAGCAGTGAATTGGATCGGCTCGAGAACACGCTTGTTATGTTTTACGCACCATGGTAAGAACTTTATTTGCTTAATTATAGGTTTTTGTAAAACTACAAACATATTTTCTATTTATCACTTCGCCGAACATACTTCAGTTGCCGTGAATCGTAATCGAAGTTAGATATCGTAATGATAGCTTCGACTTTGACGGTTCCACATACCGGCAAGTAGGCTAGTGACACGTTACTACAAGTAAAAACGTGTCTTTTTGAAGTAACAGTAGTTTTTTCCATTTAAAGAAAACTGTTTTTCCTTTAATCGTTTTTCTTGTGTAACCTTTCAAGAATATTCTGAATTCTTAGATCATTCACGTTTTCGTTCATGCGAATAGTACATTATTGGAAATAACTGCTATTTTAGGTGCGGTCATTGCAAACGATTGAAACCAGAATATGCAAAAGCAGCTGAAATGCTGTTGGGCAATGATCCACCAATTACTCTTGCAAAAGTGGACTGTACAGAGAGTGGGAAGGAAACTTGCAACAAATATTCAGTCAGCGGTTATCCAACTTTGAAAATCTTTGCTAAAAGTGATTTTGTCAGTGATTACAATGGACCTAGAGAAGCTGCTGGTATTGCAAAATATATGAAGGTATTTAGAAGTTTGATAACTTGAGATTGTTATTTAAGAACCACATATAATTATGCTTAAAATATTTCAGGCACAAGTCGGTCCAGCATCTAAGGAACTAACTGGGGAAAGTTGTTTGAAATCATTCTTGAATTCCGATGAGATAAGTGTTGTGGGCTTCTTTGAGAAGTCAGATTCATCTTTAGCAAAAACTTTCCATACTGTTGCTAATAAGATGAAAGAAAAGGTCAGATTCGCTCACACGACATCTGAGTCTCTCATGAAAAAGGAGGGCTACAAGTAATTTTATTAATATTTTTACGAATTATAACTAAATACCAATAACTGAAGACAGAATAAAATTCATCTTTCTTATTTCCTAGGAATACTATTGTTTTGTACAGACCGAAAGTACTGCAAAACAAATTTGAACCAAACACTATCCAATATGATGAATCTATGGGTGACATTCAAGAATTCATTGCCAAAAATTAGTAAGTTTTAAGAGCATTTATTTCAGTGATAATTCAACCACGAATATTTTTTAATTTAAATTAAATGTATTTCAGCTTTGGAATTGCGGGTATTCGTACGCGCGATAACGCAGGAGAGTTCAAGAATCCACTGGTAGTTGCATACTACGCTGTAGATTATGTGAAGAATGCTAAAGGTACGAATTATTGGCGCAACAGGATCATCAAAGTCGCTAAAGATTTCCCCAAATTGCACTTTGCCATCTCTTCCAAGGATGACTTCCAACACGAATTGAACGATTTCGGAATTGACTTCGTCAAAGGTGATAAGCCCGTTATTTTAGCGAGAAACGTCAAAAACCAGAAATTCGTCATGAAGGACGAATTTTCGATGGACACGTTTGAAGCGTTCTTAAAGGATTTTGAAGCCGGTGCTTTAGAACCGTATCTGAAATCTGAACCAATTCCCGAAGATAACAGTGGAAATGTTAAAGTCGCTGTAGCCCGAAACTTCGACGAAATTGTTACTAATAATGGCAAAGATACTCTAATTGAATTCTACGCTCCGTGGTGTGGTCATTGTAAGAAGTTAGCACCCGTTTTTGACGAATTGGGTGAGAAACTCGCAAACGAGGACGTGGCAATCGTTAAATTTGATGCCACCGCTAATGATGTCCCTACACCGTACGAAGTCAATGGTTTCCCAACACTTTTCTGGGCGTCTAAGGACTCAAAAGATAGCCCAATCAAATACGAGGGTGGTAGAGAGCTTGACGACTTCATCAAGTATATCGCCAAGCATGCAACCAATGAGCTTAAGGGATTCGATCGCAAGGGCAAACCTATGAAGCCGAAGAATGATGAATTATAAATTTTTTCCTAACAAAATATGAAGTTGTCTGATACATTTTTTATATATTTCTCAGCAACTGAACAGACAGTGACATCTTCCTTGTGCGACTTACCAGTGTCACAATTGTTCATAAAAATGTTTAAAAGTGTAAAAGGCTATTAAATTTTTGTAGTACCAGAGGCGGGTTTAAACGGAAGATAAATCGAAGATATTCAGTAAAACACGAGCTGCATTTATTTTCCAGGATATTTGAAAAAACGAAGTGAAATATAATTAGGATAGGGTTGTCCATATGTATTATGTATCTTTATAATGCTGTATATCATGTAAAACTATCAAGAACTGACTTAGATTTATCAATGTTTTTCAGATTTAAGAAATTATATCTAAGATTCGATTTTTCATTCCATTTTTCATATCCGACTGTATATTAGATTCAAATTAATACACAATCCTTTTATTTCTGTCAAAAATAAACTGTTTTATAAAAAAAAAATAGTTAATATTATTCTCATTCGAAAACAATGTCATTTATAAGAATTCCAAAATAAAAATAATCAAAGGTGATAAGCCCGTTATTTTAGCGAGAAACGTCAAAAACCAGAAATTCGTCATGAAGGACGAATTTTCGATGGACACGTTTGAAGCGTTCTTAAAGGATTTTGAAGCCGGTGCTTTAGAACCGTATCTGAAATCTGAACCAATTCCCGAAGATAACAGTGGAAATGTTAAAGTCGCTGTAGCCCGAAACTTCGACGAAATTGTTACTAATAATGGCAAAGATACTCTAATTGAATTCTACGCTCCGTGGTGTGGTCATTGTAAGAAGTTAGCACCCGTTTTTGACGAATTGGGTGAGAAACTCGCAAACGAGGACGTGGCAATCGTTAAATTTGATGCCACCGCTAATGATGTCCCTACACCGTACGAAGTCAATGGTTTCCCAACACTTTTCTGGGCGTCTAAGGACTCAAAAGATAGCCCAATCAAATACGAGGGTGGTAGAGAGCTTGACGACTTCATCAAGTATATCGCCAAGCATGCAACCAATGAGCTTAAGGGATTCGATCGCAAGGGCAAACCTATGAAGCCGAAGAATGATGAATTATAAATTTTTTCCTAACAAAATATGAAGTTGTCTGATACATTTTTTATATATTTCTCAGCAACTGAACAGACAGTGACATCTTCCTTGTGCGACTTACCAGTGTCACAATTGTTCATAAAAATGTTTAAAAGTGTAAAAGGCTATTAAATTTTTGTAGTACCAGAGGCGGGTTTAAACGGAAGATAAATCGAAGATATTCAGTAAAACACGAGCTGCATTTATTTTCCAGGATATTTGAAAAAACGAAGTGAAATATAATTAGGATAGGGTTGTCCATATGTATTATGTATCTTTATAATGCTGTATATCATGTAAAACTATCAAGAACTGACTTAGATTTATCAATGTTTTTCAGATTTAAGAAATTATATCTAAGATTCGATTTTTCATTCCATTTTTCATATCCGACTGTATATTAGATTCAAATTAATACACAATCCTTTTATTTCTGTCAAAAATAAACTGTTTTATAAAAAAAAAATAGTTAATATTATTCTCATTCGAAAACAATGTCATTTATAAGAATTCCAAAATAAAAATATGCCTAATAGAAGTGAATTATGTTCAATACAAAGTGAAGGATTCATTTAAATAATCGACGTATTATTTGATGAATTAGCGACAAATTTCCACTCTAATTTCAGAGAGCCCTTTTAAGTTTTAGACAACGTATTTGGAGCAGGTAGATCCATTTTATAGTAGAAATCATCTATAAGCATCGACAAATACTTTTATTGTTAATTACAATTTTTTTATATCAATCATGGAGTAAATATTTTTATCATATGTTAAAGCTAAATAATTATAGATTTATCTGTTAGAATTAAAAAAAAACTTACTCTCCATTTCATCGTCTCTTACTCGTAAAAAAATGTTCACTTTCCACTTCTGTTATGCTAAAAAGGTATTACATTAAGTTTTTGTTCTTGGAAGTATGTATCTCATATTTGTAGTTACACGACGAGTTACACTTCGTAAAACTATTTTTCTTTTTCATTTCATACGTAAGTACAACAAGCACATGCTCTTTCTTTATGCTCGAACAAATTGAAGTGATGTGATACGTTTACCATACATTTTTAATGTGTTCATATTGCTCGTAAATATCGTGAGAAAACGAAACTAAGCAATTCGTTCTCTCTTTATTGCTATTTCGTACTCTACTAAATAAATAAATACGAAAAAGACAAATGAAATGCTGATGTAAAGAAAATCATAAGACACTCGTGAAGGGTGTAACACCTCGTCTATTCCAAGAACAATAGTAGCTTTATGTACAATTTTTAATCCTATATGGACCAAACATGTACATACATCTGGTACATATAACAAAACGTTTCTTTTTATCGTTTACTTACTTCATCTTTATAGGTAAACGACTATAAATTTAATAGATGCTATGAAGTGTATGAATTTTATCACCATTTCGACCCTCGTTAGAGTAGAAGCTAAATATTTTATGTCCTTTAATCTTATCTCCAAATTTTGTGCACTTAACGGTATGTAAGTATATATATGTAATTGTTTTCGTAAAAAAAGGGTTGACTATATTGTTTATTCTTTTCGTTTTCTTCTCCCGCTAAAGCGGATTATTTCGAAAGCTAATCTATTCTGACAAGGATCAAGACGATAAACAATTTTTAAGAAAAAATTGATTGCATCATATTTTCTTGCGATGCATAGAGAACCCTTATAAAAACTTCCATAGCGTGTATACAAACTTCTTACTAATTTATTTCATCTGTGAAAATATGATCGCTCTTACTGCAGCATTTGGAGAAAGAGTCCACAAAGGATTAACTGATGATACAGTATTCGTAATTAACAGTATATCTTTCAGAAATTATAAAAGAATACTTGCAAACTTTGCAACGGATTTTGATTTGCAAAGATGATTTTTTAAACATTTTTATTTCTTAATCAACGTATTTTATTTCGATACTATAAAAGATTTGATACTATGCATCGATATTATCAATTTATCTTTGTGCTTCGAACAATTGATCAACAGTTGTTAGCTTTTTTTGATAATACAAAATTGGCTTATACGTGTATTTACTTATATTCTTTAGAAGTAAAACTTTTCTTGACCGTTGCAAAATTTGACTGCAACCTTACGGAGTTCTGGTTAAAAGCGTAATTCAACAGTAGTACTGCTAATTATTAAAAAAAGTTTGTTGAACACAATTCCACAGTCATTCATTAAATCAATGGCCAAGACTGCATTGCAGTCGTTAATTCAATAGTTCTTGCAAAAAACAACTACCTTATTAACCTTATAGATTAGATTTTAATAGAAGACGTGTAAGATTAAAAAGTTTAGAATAGTATGTGTACAAATAAAAAAAAATAAAATAAAAGGGAGGAAAAACAGGAGGATGACTTCAACAGACAATTTACAAAGGTAACTTGAAACTCGTAAATTGATCAAATATTTTTGATGAAGAACGTGTTTCAGTAAACATTTTGTTGGAAAGCAAATGTAAAAATCACATAATATCATTACGAAGATCGTGTTGTGTGAAATTTGTTCGATTAAATTACCGGAACGTTCTTTGATTACATTATACCGGATAATTTGAAAGAACAGATTATATCACGCAGTTTACTGCGCATTTTAATGCGAACCAGGACATCGTACGTGTGCTTTTGTTTGAATACAAGGCATGTGTTGTCGAAAATGTCGAAATACATAAATATAATATAGCCGCTCTTACAATCCATAATGTTAGTATCATCGTATTACAATAATATAATAAAAATAATAATTATAATTATAATAATACATTTAGCCTATTTGATATCTTAAAGATCAAAGTGATCCGCTGGTCTACTTACGCAATTTTATAATATAATATAACGTTTGTTACTTTTTTGTTTGTTTAAGAAATATAGAGATAATGCAATGATTCAATAAAATAGCGACGCAACATTTGGAATTCTTAACATTTTGTTTTAAATTCTTACATTGCTTTCTATGAGTTTGCATAGCGCACACTACGTTTCTACTCTCCTTTTTCCTTCCTTCCTTACTCTCTCTCTCTCTCTCTCTCTCTGTCTCTTCATATTTTTTTACTAATTCCCACAACTCTTCTTCCTTCTTTTCACTTGTTTTCTTTATTATCAAAAATAAACAGCCACTACGATTAAAAACAGAAATGTAGAAGGCATATAATAGTAATGAGATACTAATAATAATAGTAAATTGATCAACAGTTGTTAGCTTTTTTTGATAATACAAAATTGGCTTATACGTGTATTTACTTATATTCTTTAGAAGTAAAACTTTTCTTGACCGTTGCAAAATTTGACTGCAACCTTACGGAGTTCTGGTTAAAAGCGTAATTCAACAGTAGTACTGCTAATTATTAAAAAAAGTTTGTTGAACACAATTCCACAGTCATTCATTAAATCAATGGCCAAGACTGCATTGCAGTCGTTAATTCAATAGTTCTTGCAAAAAACAACTACCTTATTAACCTTATAGATTAGATTTTAATAGAAGACGTGTAAGATTAAAAAGTTTAGAATAGTATGTGTACAAATAAAAAAAAATAAAATAAAAGGGAGGAAAAACAGGAGGATGACTTCAACAGACAATTTACAAAGGTAACTTGAAACTCGTAAATTGATCAAATATTTTTGATGAAGAACGTGTTTCAGTAAACATTTTGTTGGAAAGCAAATGTAAAAATCACATAATATCATTACGAAGATCGTGTTGTGTGAAATTTGTTCGATTAAATTACCGGAACGTTCTTTGATTACATTATACCGGATAATTTGAAAGAACAGATTATATCACGCAGTTTACTGCGCATTTTAATGCGAACCAGGACATCGTACGTGTGCTTTTGTTTGAATACAAGGCATGTGTTGTCGAAAATGTCGAAATACATAAATATAATATAGCCGCTCTTACAATCCATAATGTTAGTATCATCGTATTACAATAATATAATAAAAATAATAATTATAATTATAATAATACATTTAGCCTATTTGATATCTTAAAGATCAAAGTGATCCGCTGGTCTACTTACGCAATTTTATAATATAATATAACGTTTGTTACTTTTTTGTTTGTTTAAGAAATATAGAGATAATGCAATGATTCAATAAAATAGCGACGCAACATTTGGAATTCTTAACATTTTGTTTTAAATTCTTACATTGCTTTCTATGAGTTTGCATAGCGCACACTACGTTTCTACTCTCCTTTTTCCTTCCTTCCTTACTCTCTCTCTCTCTCTCTCTCTCTGTCTCTTCATATTTTTTTACTAATTCCCACAACTCTTCTTCCTTCTTTTCACTTGTTTTCTTTATTATCAAAAATAAACAGCCACTACGATTAAAAACAGAAATGTAGAAGGCATATAATAGTAATGAGATACTAATAATAATAGTAATAATTGCTACAATGATATTAGATAATTATGTACTGTAAATGTAAATAGTTGTTATGTTTTATGTAATTGTTTAATCTTTTAAACTCGAAGCACAATTCATTGCCATTAAAAGATACAATCAAGTAGTCATTACAATATACATCATGGTTTCTCATTATTATAGCACATATACTTGTAATGAAATTTAGTCAATAGTTTCAAGTCTCCGGTTTCATTGACGACATAGTTCTTCTTTTGTATTGCAAGCGCATTTTGTAGTTATTTTTCATTTTTTTATATATTTGTTTTATTGTGTAAAATAATGAAAGATAAATTGTTGCTGTTGTTGCATTTTTGTTATAATATATATTATAGTTTCCGTTGGGGACCTCCGGCACTAGATTCATTGCAGTTAGCAATTCCATTAGTCTTCTCTTCGACGACAATGCAACCATTATAGGAGCCAACATCTTCCTTTCTTCTTCTTTTTTACCTACGAACTCACATAACTTTTATAATAACGTCTATTCGGTTTAAATTTTACTTTTACGTTACCTGTAACGAACAGTACTTACTTGTAGCGCTGCTCGAGTGGCCGTTTCAAATACTTCCCTAATACCCTCCTTACTTTTAGCAGAACATTCAAGATAAGCGAATGCATTGATTTTCTCAGCCATGGCCCTGCCTTCCTCTGGCTTAACTGGTTCCTGTTTCATTTTGCTGAGCTCCTTGATGGTATTAGGATCATTGCGTAAGTCTTTTTTGTTTCCAACAAGTATGATGGGCACGTTCGGGCAAAAGTGCTTCACCTCCGGTGTCCATTTCTCGGGAATGTTCTCCAAGGAATCGGGACTGTCAATGGAGAAGCACATTAAGATTACGTCTGTGTCGGGGTACGACAACGGACGCAACCTATCGTAATCTTCTTGCCCAGCTGTGTCCCATAGAGCCAGCTCCACCTATTGTACACAGAATTTTTGTTCTCTTAATATGCTTATCTAGAAAAGGCTGAAAAATAATAAGCACGTCGAGATCACTTTTTCTTCGAGTTCTTACCTGTTTTCCATCGACTTCAATATCCGCAACATAGTTCTCAAACACGGTGGGTACATACACTTCAGGAAACTGATCTTTGCTGAAGACTATGAGTAAGCATGTTTTACCACATGCACCATCACCCACGATAACCAATTTCTTCCTAATGGCTGCCATGAATTCTAGAATATAAATGAATACAAAACTCAGTTACTATTACTTCAATACATTCCATACCATAAAAAATTACAACTTTATGCATGTAATTTTGATCTTCAAGATAGATCCATTAATGCAAAAGCAAGAGACATACATCCATTTCTCATTAGTAACGGATTTTTATTTACACGATTTGTAAATCTTCTCGATGTCCTGATTTTGTCAAACATATGTTTCAATGTTTCAACATTTTTTTGATAACTTACCCATGTACAAGTAACGCTACAATTTTGTGACATAGTATTTGCATTAAGCCGAATATATTTAATTTTGACAATAATTATTCACTCTTTCATCAACAAATGAGCAACGTTATACATATGTATATCGAAGTACAGTAACAGAAACATACAACCTTCAGTGCTTTTATTCCACGTACATAAATATATTTTTAATGTATGTATATATAATACAAATATATATATACATATTCATATATATGAGAAGCTTATAAAGTATAAACGCTAGAGCACAGAATCTCTAAGTGCATGTTCATACATTGTAGATAAAAGGAGTGCCTTAGATGCTACATATTTGAATGTAAATTAACTGACATATATATGACACTTCCTAGGAAACGCCACCTAAAATTAGTTTGACTAAGGGCATGCGGAGAGTGAGAGCAGATAATACACATAATTACAAATTAGTAGAAAACACGAGGAACTTCGAAAAGAAATAACTGATAATGATATTAACAGAAACTGCTTTTCCTGCACCCTTATTAAAGCATAAATAACTAGAAAGCAATTTTTTAAATGAATAGATTGATAGATTCAAGTGCTATAATGTAAAGATACAGAAAAGAAACAATGAAAAAAGACTGAGAGAAAGCATTCTTCAGGATAGAGTTAGGAAGAAATCAGGGTAATCTTTTTTTTAAACTGGTCAATTAGATCGATTTTCTGACAATGCTGTGAATAATGTCTCAAGTTCAAACCTCGTAGGGTATAAGATTTGTCTTCTGCAAGTATTGTATTCGTTTTCTTTTTCTTTTTTGACAGAGTTCTAAATTGGTACTAGCATTACAAATATAATATAGCATACACTCCCTACAGCCCTCTGTTTACATTTATAAATGCTAAAGATTGCCTCTAGTTTCATTACTGCCAGCTATCTATCGTATACTGGATAAATTCCTTTGTCTCTAGATCTCGTGTCTACTTTAGTGTACTATTCGGAAAGCAACCTACGAGGGCTGAAGATTTAATGGATATTAATTGGGTCGTACCTGATCCAGGGTACCCCGTATCGTCTGGACCGAGGCATCGGCCCGTATTGCATCCCATGTTTTTAGTCTTTCTTTCAGCGTCTCTGCTTTAAGTGGACATTTTATATGTTAGAATGGATAAGAGGCTTGCAAGATAATTGCATGTACCACACAGATATCATATAAGTAATATATATACG